GATTATTCGTCGTTCGAAAACCGCACAGATAACAAGTTTTAAATTGGATGCTAGTCCTTTGAGACTACTCTGACTACTTTCTATATACAAACAAAAAATCTGGTTAAAAATATATTACATAAAATGGAGGAATGTGACAATATAACATACCGTATCCAATACCGAAGAAATTCATTAACCGATGTAGACTCAGATAATTCGGCACTTTTTGATACAACTATTTCAAGTCTGCCTAACACTACGCTAAATCCTAGTCAAACCATACTCGAATTGAACGAAAAAATTACAAAATTGTCTGACGATTTACAAATAGCACACCATGAGATTGAAAATCTGAATAGCGAGAATTTTCGTCTGAAATCAGATTTACAGAAATATTTGAAGATCGTAGAAACCTATAAAAGCTTAAACCTTACAGAGAATAAAAAACTTACACCGCGATCTGGACGAAAATGCAAACAAACCCGAAATATCGATGTAACACCTGTAACAAAAAGCATACAGGTAATGGCTCCTTCAGCACGAATTATGAATAATGAAGCGACAGTTAAATCAGCCGAAAATACACCTGAGGCTGAAAGGATTCCAGAGCCAATAAACGAAGATTGTTCGACACAGAATCCGAAAACACAGCCGCAAATATCTAAACTGAATATGCCACTAAATGACACAAAATTATCTCCACTGAAAAAAATTCTCAACACCAGAGAAGGACATCGCACCTTTGAAGAAAGTTACTACAACGGATGTTCGTAAAGATATCAAACATAGAAAATTGTGCGTACTAAGCAACAGCACTCGAAGAGGCATACTACAGGCTATTGAAGACAATTTTGCAAGTGACTTTATATACTGTAATTACTCTTCACCAAATTGTAATATAAAACAACTTTTAGCTGGTATTAAATCAAAATTAAGATATTTTAATATGAACGATTATTGTATAATTTTATTAGGGGAGACAGACTTTAAACGTAACGACAATTATATTAATTTAGTAAAAGAAATTAACGATAGTTTAACACAGGTGACCCATACAAATATAATAATATGCACACCCACGTATATACGGGGAGCACCAATACATAACTTTAAATTTGAAATGTTTAATAGTCTGCTCTGTATGGACCTACAATACCATAAATATGCGTACTTTTTTGACTCCAACTATGACCTTACACTTGACATGTTTTCATACAAATCAGGCAAAATAAATACAGCAGGAATTCAATGCATATTTAAAAATATAATGAAAAGAATTAAAATTGACTTAGAATTATTCCCTGACCTACCCAGTGACACAAGCGGACAAAGCTCACAGTTTTTTCTTTTATAATAATATTCGAATTTTACACCAAAATATAGCAGGTCTTATAAATAAATCTGACACTCTGACGGTACATTTAGAAGAGTTGGCACAAAATAACAAATTTGTAGACGTAATATGTTTAACCGAACATTTTATGACACCAGACCAAGAGAGCATACTTGATATACCCAATTTCCGCCTAGCAACAAGATTCTCAAGAAACATAAAGAGAGGAGGTGCTAGAATTGGTCATCAATATAAAGTATTAAAAACTAATTGTACAGTTAAAGGCGTAATAGAATGTAGCGCTATAGAACTAAGTCTTCATGGACTGATAATAGTTTGTATATACAGGGTGCCTAATTCTTGTATAAACGTATTTTTCAATAATTTAGACATGTTATTACGCCAAATATGTGATAATACTAACAAGAAAATTGTTTTATGCGGCGACTTTAATATAAATATACTGAAAAGAAACCGGCGAGCGCTAGATTTTGAATATATTTTACAAAGTCATAATTTAAAACTAGAAATTAAAGAGCCTACTAGACTTAGTAGTAACACATGTCTTGATAACTTTGCTCACAGTATTCATAAATGTAAAAGTGAAGTTATTGAATTTGGACTATCAGATCACACAGCTCAAATTTTACAATGTCCAGTCAAAAAAACATGCGTGATAAAATCTTGGCGTATTAAAAGACGTAATTATAGTAAGGAAAATCTCATAAAATTCAAAAATTGTATGAACAACTTAACTTTTTCTAATATTTATCACACAAACGACCCTAACGAAGCTTATAATCGTTTTCTAGACCTCTTTCTTTGCTTTTATAATCTATGTTTTCCATACAAAATAATAACTAGAACGTTACATAAAAAGTCTAAATGGATATCAAAAGGTATCAAAATTTGTAGTAGAATGAAAAGAAAATTATTATGGCAGTATAGGACTCATCCAACAAGATCAAATAAACACAAATTCAAGCAATACGCCTCTAAGTTTAAAAAAATTATATTACTAACGCAAAAGTCACAAAATAACTACTACATAAGTACATCCCAAAATAAATCAAAAGCAACATGGTCAGTTATAAACAAGACTAAATTTAAATTTCCCAAAGAGCCTATTACGGAAATATTTAACGACGATATCAAAATTAGAGATCCTATATCTATTGCGAATCACTTTAACGACTTTTTTTTATTGACCAAGTAACAAAATGGGAGCATAAAAATAAATCAAAAAATAACGACCTAACACATTCAAACCCCAAAATTAATACTAACGTAAATTCAGTTTTTCTTGTACCTACAATACCTATGGAGGTGGATAGAGAAATAAAACAACTGAAAAATACTCAAAGTGTGGGTTACGATGGTGTTTGCACTAAAGTTGTAAAGTATGTGTCCTCGTCAATCGCTTCTCACTTATGCTACATAATAAATTTATGCATTTCTAACGGAATATACCCCGAAAAACTTAAAACTTCTATTGTTATTCCACTCCACAAAAAAAGATGACAAAAAAAATATGGGAAACTATAGACCGATAACACTGATATCTATTTTTTCCAAATTATTTGAAAAAGTAATATATAATCGACTATACAGTTATTTAGAAAAGTATAATATTTTGGTAAATGAACAAAAAGGATTTCGCAAGGGTAAATCTATAAATACAGCTATTTATGACATAATTAAAATGATTTTAATCAGCATGGATAAAAGAAATCCGATATGTGCTGTCTTTATGGATATGAGCAAGGCTTTTGACCGTGTTGACCATAAGATACTTATTCAGAAACTTAGCTGGTATGGCATAAGAGGTAATGCGCTAGACCTCATTTCCTCTTATATGTTCAATAGAAAACAAATAACAGAAATTACACAAATATGCCAGAAAACACGAAATGAAATCAAATATAGATCTAACACTAGAACCATAAAATTCGGAGTCCCACAAGGGAGTGTCCTAGGTCCCTTACTATTTCTGGTATATATAAATGATCTCCCTAGACATATTGAACATCCAATGGTACTTTTTGCAGATGATAGCACAGTAATGATAAAATGTGATAGGCAAGACAATTACGAAAATGAAATCAATAAAACATTAAATACAATAATTCAATGGTTCCTAAAAAACAATCTTAAAATAAATATGGACAAAACAAAAATAATGCACTTTTATCAAAGAACACAACCCATAACTATACATGTAAGTTACCAAGGCAATACAGTATATCCAGTGACAAATATAAAATTTCTAGGAATTAATATTGACTATGACCTATCATGGAAAACACATCTAGATAATGTCTGCAAAAAAGTCAATCAATCCTCGTTTGCTCTTTACAAACTCTCCAAGATTGTCAATAAAGAAGCCGTTTTATTAGCCTATCACGGACTTGTTGCACCTATCCTAAGATATGGTGTAATATTTTGGGGCAACTCGGTAAATAAAGAATCTGCATTCAAAGCTCAAAAGAAATGCATCAGAGCAATGTGCCATCTGGATAATACTACAAGCTGTCAACCATATTTTAGACACTTAAAAATTCTGACATTGCCTTCGATATATATCTACGAAATAAATCTATTTGTGAAATCAAATCCAAATTTTTACAAGACTGCTTTTAAGAGCTACTATAGACAGTTACGCGACAAAAAAAGATTAGACATAGAAATACCGTATGGAGATACAGCACTACTCAATAAAAGTATTTGTATGGCATCACTGATTCACAACAAACTACCAGATGATGTCAGAAAGTTGCCTATCTCACGATTTAAGACGATATTACACAAATTTCTGATTAATAAATATTATTATAATGTCAAAGAGTGCTTAGAGGATAAAAGTATTATAATTTAATGGTAATAGTTTTAATTTAATTGTAACTTAATAATAATAATTTGAATTTAATTATAACTGAATAATAGTAATTTATACATTTACCTAATGTATGTGACACATTGTAACAATTTAATAATATTGGTATATTAAATTATAATTTAACTTAAATTTTGTATGACAACATTTTTGGATTTGATTATTCTTATTATCAAAAATATTTAATTTCGAGTTTATATAATATCAAGGTATTTAGTATGACAACAATTAGCACTATAGACTCAACTATTGACAATATTTTTTTTTCTTATTCTTAATTTTATTTCAAAGCACCATTATTGAATTAGTAATGCGTAGACTATATTGTAAAGTATTTGCACACCTCATAAGGTAATAATACAGTGTACATATTCTAATTTTTTTTTGTAACAACTCTTATACCTGTATTATGCAAATAAATGAATTTGATTTGATTTGATTTAATATTTATCATCATCATCCACTCCACTGCTAGTCAGTAGCCAGTCCACTGCCAGACATAGGCCTCTTCCAAGGTACGCCACTTAGCCATATCTTCAGCATCTAGTTTCTACCAGCCACATTCTTCCATCGTTCCTTTTCATCATTCCGTCATTGCTTCATCTGGTCAGGGGGAGCCCCTGATTAATATTATAAGATTATAATTTTCCTTCTATTGAAATATGAGTTATGTTAAATTTACGTAGTTACAGTGTACAATTATGTAAATTTAAATCTGTTTATGATTTTTATGCAAACAAATTTGATCTCTCTACTTTTAATGTAGTTTTGATAATGTTTTTTATGTTTTAGACAATCAGAATATGGAACTGGCAATCACGTCAGTGCATCAGTGTACTCACAGGTCACAATCACTATGTCATGTGTGCCCAATTCCATCCCACTGAGGATTTGTTAGTGTCTGCATCTTTGGATCAGTCTGTACGGGTGTGGGACTTTTCGGGGCTGAGGAAAAAGAGTGTGGCACCTGGCCCTACTGGATTAGCTGAACATTTGAGAAATCCACAGGCTACGGATTTGTTTGGGCAGGTAATTTATTTTATTTATTAAAGAACACTAGTAATGCTTTTAACATCACTAGCACTGTCATATCTAAAGATTTATTGTTATTACATTTGGGGTTAATTTTTTAATTCTTTATTAATTAACAAAGTAAACCTTGTTAGTTAATAAAGTAAATTTAATGTAGGTAATTTAAAATTCTCTTATTACAGTTTTGTCTTTTGTCATACTACCAAGCTTAATCACAAAATAAATAATAGTACTTCATACAGAAGTAGCAATCCTTTGTTTTGACTGCTTGCCTACGTTTTAATAGCCTACATAATTATTATTAATGAGATAAATCGCACACGCAAACTAAATAAAACTTTATTGCTGCGCTGAAGTGTCCGTATTACTTTACATCTTTTCCCCTTCCTAAGTCACGGCGGACTTTCCGTGGTTACTAAGGGCTGTCAATAAAGAGTAAAAAAATACATTGCGAAAGGTTGAGAAAGTTACTTAGGTAAGGTACTTATTCTGATTTCTGACTATGATCGACTGACGATATTTATTTATATTTTCGCTAATATGTGAGTTCTGTGACGCCTAACCTATGCAACTTGCAAGGCCATTCGTCGTGAACGCAATGCCTGGCTTCAAGAAATAGGTAGGTAGTGTAAACAACATATATGTTTCTTATGGCTGCTCTTCACGATCGGCCATGGTTGGCGATTACACGCGAGCACGATTGTGTAGAGGGGCTAATCGCCTGTAGTTGCCCATCATCGTCCTCAATCGTCGTTGATCGTCGTCGTGATCGTGGCGATCGGTGCCTTGTCGGTTTTTCACACATCAAAGGGAATCGCTGTAATTGCGTGCGCGTGCCCACACGATCGCCGATCATTCATTCAACGGAGGACAGCGAGCAGTGCGTACGTCGCGTCGTTTTTAAGTTTTTAAATAAAAGTGAGTGCGAGTGCGAAACACTCTAGTGTCAGTACTGGGTGGTCAAATGAAAAGACATTCAAGTTCATATATATATATATATATATATATATATATATTAATCATCGACTAAGAATCAAAATGCAGTAGTACCTCAGTACCAAGATGGATTACCTCGTTTCCAACAAAAAGGGTCTTTACAACCGGTTCTCTACTTTCTCCATAACAACTTTGAGAACGTAGTCAGTCCTACTTCGGTCTAGCATAACCATTTGTATATATGCATATATATATATATATATATATATATATATATATATATATATTGCTTATCCAATTATAATGGCAAAATGTCGTTAGTACTATAATTCTTGCGTGGATGGATGCTTAATGAGCAAACAAAAGGATTCAGATATATTATTTTTTAAGTTACAGAAGGAAAATGAAAAATAAATTTATTTCATTATTTTTGTTAGATAGTTACTTATAGTGAAAAAAGGATTAAGTAATAATTTAACTACAGAATTAATACTGAGTACTTTATTACAAAACTTAGTTGTAATTTACTTCACTATCCAAGTACCTACTTACATACCTATTCTTATTTTTTGGAATTAAAATATTTTAAGTTATAATAACTCAAAATACTATTTATACTATTTGTTTACAAGATTTTTAACTAAGTAGAATATGATCACATTTCATTTAAAGTCGCCTCTACACGATCGGCCATGATCGACACTCGTTGATCGTCTGTAATCGGCAAGGTAATTGCGACCATCATCGTGCAAGCATCCACATGGTCGTCGGTGATCATTTATTAAGCGGCAAGCATTCAAGATGGACGTGGAGGTTATAGCTGCAGCTACCAAATTAATATATATATATATATATATATATATATATATATATATATATATATATATATATATATATATATATATATATATATATATATATATATTATAGGTTATAGCTGCAGCTTCAAAAAACACTTTGTGGCGACTTTAATTATAAAAGTACAATTGTACATTTTGGCGCGCAATCGTTGCGTCTTGTCAACTTATGCACTGAACTAAACTCGCTGTTTAAGAATATTGTACTTACTGCTTATTTCCGTTCAATCGAGGTTCAAACTTAACTCGCCAGGTTCGCAAGTTAACTCGCTACTGTACTTGTCGAAGTGTAAATCGGTCTTTGACACAGTAACCTTTGTGTCGCGCCGCCCTTTCTTTTGTGGCACGTGTCGCATCTTGCCCAAGGCGCCGCCGCGACTTCAAAGGTTGCCGCGTGCGGCTGGAGAATTTAGCATTTTAAAATAAAGCGCCATAATGAAAGGTTCATTGCTACCTAACTTGTGTTTATTATTTATATCCATATTTTATTACAATAACCATAAAAATAAAATAGTATCCTATTTTATTCTTAAAATAAAAATAAAAAAAAACAAAATAAGCAAGATAATAAATGCGTCTCTGTGTGAACCGAAACTATCTAAGTGAACAAACCACTTAGATAGTTTTGGTTCACGCAGAGACGCGTTTATTATTTTGCTTTTATTTTAGTATTTTTTATTGTGTTTTTTAAATATATAAATGTTTTTTATTTTTTATTTTAGGAAGATATACTTAAACTTAAAATGAATTTCCTAGGAGTGGTTCACGACAGTAGTTAAATGGAAGATTTGCATCTACAGCATTTTTAAGTTTAAAATATTAGGCTATTATTGCTTACCTTATCGTCAGACGCTGCCACCAAGAACCTTTATTTTCAATCGCTTGTTGGTTCTTTAAGCTCTATGGCCAGCAAGCTTACAAGTGGTCTATGTTGGTTACTCGTACTGCTAGTACATCTGCCATGTGGTAACAGTACAAGAGAATCCATCCAAAACTTAGGTTTTGGATGGATTCTCTTGTAGGAGGTCTGATATTGCAATAGATGATATTCAATTCAATTCAATTTATTTGCTATTCTTGTTGTACATTTGGTCTTATATTTAAAAAAAAATGTTCAAAACAAGAACCCTGCAAGGGCACTGCAAATATAGGCAATTATTAATATTATTATTACATTCACATTATAGTATTATAAAATTATCATTTAATGAATATTTACAATTAACTTAAATATAAATTGCATCATGTATTATATTATTTATTTGTTTAAATTTCCTATTTCCTACTCAATCACTAAAAAACTCCTGCAACGAGTAATAACATTTTTTCGTTAAATATGTATTAACTTCTTTTTTTAATTTTTTAATGCTTTTAGTGCTTCTGATTTGTTCTGGAATTTTGTTATATATTTTTATTGACATGACATAGGGACTGGTGTTTAGGATTTGTAATTTTGATGTAACTGTGGATAATTTTATTTTTGGTCTTAAATTAAATAAAAGACAACAAATTAAATAAATATAAGACAAGCATGGCAACTACAGCAAAAATTTCTACTATTGGAGTTTCCATGTACAGTATTTTACCATTCATGAGCTAACAATGATGATGAGGTCGTGCAATGTAGTTTCCATGAACAAAATATTTTGTTGTCAGAGATAGCAATAATTGATAATTTGACTGTATATATTTTTTATTTTTACCAGGCTGATGCAGTTGTGAAGCATGTGCTTGAAGGTCATGACCGTGGAGTAAATTGGGCCTCGTTCCACCCCTCACTGCCGCTGATAGTATCAGCTGCTGATGACCGTCAGGTGAAACTTTGGCGAATGAATGATGCAAAGGTAATTTCTGTACGAATTTTAAAATGTTTTTGTGCAAAAACAAATGATTTATTTTCAGATTTAGTTGTGAATAACAATATCTATGTTAAGTGATATAATTTACATTTCCGCATACGTTCATTAACATGCCATTGCTTTTCTAAAAAAACTTGTTACATTAGTCTCTTTGGTTGCATCTACATTGTTGTATTTGATTTTTTGTTGGATTTCATTGACAAAATTTGAAAGGGTAATGTAAATTTAAATTTAAAAAACAGTGCCATTTACTATCTACGGCTTCATGACTTCTTACCAACAGATGGAAATGTAGCCATGTAAGTCATTTATTTTTGGATCTCAAATTGTGCTACAGTTACAATTGAGCTGATTACAACAGACAAAAGTAATTAGTACACTTGAAAAGAATATAACGCAAGTGTGACAATGCTGGCCAAACACATTGTAAGTTCTGTTAAGTCAGATTTTTTCGGAACTAATTTTCTAAAAGTTATTATTTGTAACACGTCTCAGCGCACGAATGCGTCGTCATTCATGCAGACATGGAACTCGTGTTTCGTATGGTGAGTGTAGAGATCCGGAGATCCTTTTTACTGGAAACGCCTTGGAAAAGTTTGGTAGTTTTTGATGGAGCCTAATTTCCAGTAAAAGGGGTCTCCGGTTCTCAATAATACAATCTTTCAGCGCCCGATAACGATAGATAGTTATGTATAGTGTTTTGAAAGCTATTAATAAAATGTTTTATTTAAATTTGTAAATATTAATAATTTTACGGCGGCTGACCGCTGTAAACGACGAGAGGACGAACCGTATGCTCGTTTGCCCCCTCTTTTATAAAAAAAAAAAGACAAACGAGTCCCGTCCGAGACGAAACACAGTCCACCTAATGGTAAGAGATATAATTGACATTATAATATCACAAATGTTACATTATTAAAATCTATATTCATTTGTTATGAAAGAAAACTTATCACCCATATTCAGTCGTATTTGAGTGATGTCATTACATGTTTTATCAGTTTTGCTTTCTACAAAATGGAATTTTTATTTTATGGGTCATTGAAGAATTTTAAAATGTTCTCAATTTTTTTTTAATTTTTTAGGCTTGGGAAGTGGACACATGTCGCGGTCATTACAACAACGTTTCCTGTGTCCTATTTCACGCCAAACATGAACTTATATTGTCCAACAGTGAGGACAAATCGATTCGAGTATGGGACATGACTAAACGGACTTGCCTGCACACATTCCGTAGGGAACATGAGCGGTGAGCTTATAATGCATAGCCTACCCACCATCATCTTACTATCCTACTAATATATTATAAATGTGAAAGATTTTAGATTTTGGATGTTTGTTGTCTCAATCACGCAAAAACTAGTGAATGGGGTTGGATGAAACTGGAGAATAGAACATAGGCTAATTTGGTTGTAAAAATAAAATTGAGTCTATCCTAAATTACAGGTTTTTTTGTAATTCAGTGCTAAAAATCGAAAAAGTTTCTTCTCTTCCTTCTCTGTGCAGCCTTAAGGGCCCTCTTACATTTCGGCGTTACGTAAACTTAGGTATTTTACGCTCCGAGCGGGCGATGACCTGCGCGAGCGATGCTTACTTATTTCATATCTCTATTCACTCGCTCGCACTACGGTACTGTGAGCATAGCAACTAAACGATTTTGATCTTCCTTTATAGAAGTTTTCTTAGGATGGAGTTCTGTGGATGGAAAACTTTTGGTGTGTCTTTTTTAAGTTATCTAATATAGTCCGATTTTGATAATTCTTTTTCTATTGGATAGGGTATACCTTGAAATTGATCCCATATAAATTTGGAAAACAGTTTTTTCCCTAAGGGTGGGAAAACAGGGGTTATTTATTACAGATTAATCTCATTTTGATAATTCTTTTTTTATTGGATTGGGTATACATTGAAATTGGTCCCATATAGATTTGGAAGAAAAGTTTTTACCCTAAAGTAGGAAAATGGGTGTGTTTTATTACAGAGTAGTCAAATTTTTTTTGATAATTCTTTTTTTATTGAATAGGGTGTACCTCGAACCTGGACCCATATATATATTTGAAAAAAAATAGGGGTGATTTATTAGAGAGTAGTCCGATTTTGATAATTCTTTTTTTAATAGATAGGGTATATACTTCGAAATTGGTCCCATATAAATTTGGAAAAAAATTAACCCTAAGGGTGGAAAATAGGGGTGATTTATTGTTTACTCATAGATTTTAATGCTGTGTTGTGTATTACAACATTATATAATAATTACATTACATTACAAAAAACCTCACAATGAATGAGCTTTAGACCCGTCAGTCTCTTGTGTGTAGTCCTCTCAGTCTCTGCATTTCTGCTAAAGCTCATTCATCGTGAGGTTTGTGTAATACCTTATTTGGCTCTAGATTAGATAAAGCAATACCCTCAAGTGTTTTTACTCTACTCAGTACCACATATGCCTGCCATTTGGCAAACAGATTTAAACAATAGTAATTAAAGTAGGATTATGTGACAGTTAATAGCTAAAGTAAGATAAGTAGCCATTTTAAAAGTAATCAAAAATTAAGCATGTACTAATTAGTAGATTATAGCCAGAAAAAATTATAAAATAAAAACGTTTTAACAAAAAAATTAAACCGCCGAAAAAATTGAAAAAGCAAAAAATAAGAAACGCTTTTCTTTTACCTTAATAACTAAGTTCATAAACTAATGTAAATATACCTAAGTATATATATTTGTAATTATTTTGAGTTTTTAGTTAATCTTAAAGTTCTTAAGCTAATGGAAGTATACCTAAGTATTTTGAGTCGGCGACAAGCAAATTAATTTTTTATTATAATGGATTTAAGCAAAGTAACGCCTGATTCTATCAATTATCTTAGTTATTAAGGTAAAAGAAAAAGGTTTATTATTTTTTGCTTTTCAATTTTTTCCGCGGTTTAATTTTTTTGTTAAAAATATTTTAAAAGGTATCTGTGTCAAATATAAAAAAACATGCCAAATGTATGTTTAACAAAACATAATAACATTTAAATTACAGGTAATTTTATACTATCGTGGTCACCTCGTTTTTTGGCTCTAGCAAATCGAAAAATCATGCGATTCCGATGAATTTTTTAAAACTTCACTATTACGGCCGGTTTATGAAAAAATTACAAGAGTAAAAAATTTTTAATTTATATTGGTTTCAAGGCTTTAAATGTTCATGAAAATGCACTCATTAACGTATAATTGTTGATAACATTTTTAAAAATAATCGAATAAAGTTGTTATATTTTTTTCATAATGTACTTAAAAAACGAACATTTAAAAAAAAATAAAAAATGTTTGTTTATAAATTTTTTATTTTGGTTTTTATTGAGTGTAAGATCGAGCGGTGCGAGCTCGGGACTTAGGGCGTCCCGACTCGAACAGGTTAGGTTAGAAGGAGCGTCTTTTTGGTCTTTTCCGTAAAAACTGCGATTTAAAAAATACCTCATCAAAATCGGATGATTTTTCGATTTTATAGAGCGATTATGATGACATTTAAAGTCAAAAACTTAAAGTGAGGTAAAAAATTAATAAAAAACATTTTTTCATTTTTTTAACTGTTAGTTGTTTTGTGTAGATTAACAAAAAAATGCAAACTTCGTTTAACGCTTTGCAAAAAAGTTATGAACGATTATATTCGAAGAAGTGCGTTTATGATCACATTTAAATTCGTAAATATGAAGTCTTGTGGTGAGATATTTTCCATATTTTTTTCCATAAATCCGCCGTAAAGACGAAGATTAAAAAAATCATCGAAATCGGATTATTATTCGATTTTCTAGAGTCAAAAAACGAGGTGACCACGATAGTATAAAATTACCAAATTACAAACATATTTATTAAAATTAGAATAAAAGTCGTTCATAAATGCTGGGCACGCGAGAGTTAAAAATGGCCGAATTTATTCCACTTTGACTTTGATGTGGAAACCGAAAAATAAAATAAAAGAATAATGAGCAGATTTAAATATAAAATTTTTGAGTAATTATGATAACGTATATATGTTTCTACAAAAAAAATGTGTATAATAATATATTCGTCCTATACATAATTACCCACAGAACTGAACAAATTAATTTCATAATCTATATTCCATGACACGAGGTGGCGTCTTAGTCTTATTAATCTATAATACTTTTTTATTGATCTTATTAACCGATGAAAAGTAATTCCTTGGTGTTTACTGATATTTCTTGAATTATTTGTGCAATATCTAATGTGGGCTCCAGACTCCTGTGTGATTCACGGCGTGAATTCACGCCGTAATTTTGCCGCGAAGTCGTCACGAAAAACACATCCCTCCACATTCGCAAATAGTTCACAGTTGAGTTCGCGCGCTCGTCGAGAATGGACGCTGAAATATGCACTGCTATCGCCGTGACGCTGTGCGCTTTGGATCATTACAATTACGTGTATATAAAAGTTTAAAAAAAAAACCGTATTTGTAGTTTTTTTTTTACAATTATCGCTTTCTCCTAGAAAAGCATCGATCACGTCAAAGGTACGGCAAATGGGCTTGTAAATTTTGTCGCTGCTTGCTCCAGACTTCCTTTCAGAATCCTTCACCTTTTTCTTATAATTTCTGTAACTGGACATTAGATTTTCTTTTTTTCAATCACTCACTTCAACGCTTTTCGTGGCAGAGCGATGCTGCAGTTATATTAGTAGTGTAGTTGTAGCACGAATGGGTCGGCTCGACCAGGGAAGGACCATGCTCTCACAGAATACAAACGTAAAATAGTAGCTTAATGCTGCTGTGTTTTGTATGGTGAGTGTAGAAAACCGGAGACCCCTTTTACTGAAAACGAGGCATTCCATCCTAAACCTCACGGATAACAATGCATCTGCATTTTGATTCGTAATCTAGGATAGATGTAGATGTCTATGGGCCACAGCATCCACATACCATCAGGTGGACTTTGTGCTCGTTTGTGTCACCCTATCCTGTAAAATAAAATAAAATATTCATTATTTCCTTTATTCGTATCCATGCGCCATGTACTTTCATTTTATTTTTATGATCTTTATGTGCAGCATTCCATAAAATGGTTGGCTTGCTCGTCCAACTGACTCACATTTTGAAGCACCGTCCTCCGTAAAAAAATACAAACAAGCACAACCGCACAGCAACGAGTCTCGCGCGTTACTGTTTTCACGCGCGAATGTGGATGCGCTTGCGTTCACGGGAGGTTCACGCGTCGTAAACCCTTTGAAGCGGGCACAAAATACCGACACTGAACGGGGAACGTGGCGTGAAAAGGCGCGAAGCCCGTGAACGGGTGCGAAAGCCATCAAAAAAATCTCTTGCTAAAAATATACCGTCGTGTGTACTTAAGCGCCCTCCACATTCACGCCGTGAACACCCGTTAAAGGCGTGAACCGCGAATGTGGAGGGCGCTTAAGTGCACACGACGGTATATTTTTAGCAAGAGATTTTTTTTAAATTAATACAATACGTGACAACTCTACAAGTGCCTAGCAAGTGACTGATTAAAGTGCGGTGTAAGCACCGCAGTTGAATGGAACAGAGTAGCTGAATGCAGTGTCGCCTCTAGTACGTGGTACATAGTAGCTCAATGCCAACAACGATTAAAAATTTCGGGCGTAGATAACTATGCTCTAGCACAAAATAGCAGCGTCGCGGCTATCGACGCCCACTACGATAATACTGAAACGAGACGGAGCGCGCGAAATAAATTGACACTGTTCCAACTTCGAGAGCCGGTGGCGCGGTAGTGAATTCAGATAAATGGTACTTTTATTTAATTAATTAAAAAAGTAATAGTAACGATTTAAAAAGTGAAAATCATAGTGTAGTTTAAGCAAATGTTGATGATTATTTTGGTATAAATTTAACGTCGAAATGAATGTAGAACCTCGGAGATATTGGGGCTTGTATCGAAGCTTTATCGATAGATAGTTGAATTATGTCGATTTTTTTCCGTACGTGAAAGGCATGCAACGAAAATGTATTTTATCGTTATTAAAGTGTAGGATATTTGTGAGATAAAAATATTTTTTTGATGGTCGATATTCAATAGAATCTACAAATTAGAGCTCCCAAATCATGTATCTCAGAGTTTTGGCCTAGACATGCATCTGGAGAATGATTATTACTAAATAAATAAATAAGTTGTCTAAAATTTGCCTTGAGCTTATTGCAGTACAGAAAACGAACTATTTTTACCAAGTAATTGTTATTTCAAGCAACGAACGGAAAACATATAATTTCAACTAGGAAACCTTGTAATTTCACGTTTTTGTAATACTTCTCTTAACTATAATAGATACAACTATAAAATGTACTAGCGAATTGTTCGTCTTACCAATATCTTCAAAAAGATCACAATAACTTTTTTGTTTCTAAAAATAAAAATATTAAGTTAATATTTAGTGTTTAAATCATTGAAATTGGATATTACTTTTATACAAAATTATGAAACGAAAATAAGTCAAGCAGGAATATCGGGGCAACCCGTATTTTAAGTAACTTACCTAGATGTCTATATCTTTATTTTATAATTTTTCTGTATTTGTGTTTATCACTGAGCTCCTAAAAAGTTAAGAGGTGGCGGTGGAAAGTTAGACTGTTGAATGTATACCGATTACCGAGATGTTAAACTAACAATTGATTTTTGTCCCCAGGTATTGGGTTTTGTCAGCCCATCCTAGCTTGAATTTATTTGCAGCCGGTCATGATGCAGGGATGATACTATTCAAGCTGCAACGTGAGCGACCGGCATACGCAGTTCACAACAATATGCTGTTTTACATAAAGGATAGGTTTGTATGAAAAATTGATATTGGTTTAAGAACTTTGAGTGTTCTCTTTAAGTGTCCAACTTTACTAAAATGATTTAACGAGTTATTGTTTTCCAGACAATTACGGAAGCTTGACATGCAGACAAACAGGGACTCACCTGTAATGCAAATTAAGGGAGGTGGCCGTCACCAACCCTACAGGTATACTTTATATTGATTTTATAGATTTTAAAGTAAGTTAAACAGTCAAAAGATAAAATTATAACGAATTGAGCAACTGTTTGTACATGGTAGAGCCATGCTGCAGTTATATTAGTAGTATAGTTGTATTAGCACGAATGGGTCGGCTCGACCGGAGAAGGACCACGCTCTCACAGAATACCAGCGTGAAATGGTAGCTTGATGCTGCTGTGTTTCGTATGGTGAGTGTAGAGAACCGGAGACCCTTTTTACTGGAAATGAGGCATTTCATCTTAGTCCTCACGGGTGACAACGCATCTGCATTTTGATTCGTAATCGAAGATAAATGTAGATGTCTATGGGTCACAGCAACCACTTACCATCAGGTGGACTGTGTGCTCGTTTGTCACCCTATCCTATAAAAAAAACAAAAAAAACCGTTTTGGTTACTTAAGTGTACATCTATATGTACATTTGCACCTCGCGGATTATTAGCTCATTGTTACCATAACGTTATAAAAACAGTTGGCTGAAGATGCCTTTTGTTTGAGTACATACTTCATTTCAGATACCCAAAATAACCTAAAAATTACAAGTGATTTATTGTGTGGCAACTTAGTAGCATTCCGTGGGCGTTTTAGACGGTGATTTCCATTGTGAAATAACCATCTGGTTGCTAGATCTAAAATACACCGACTATAGGAACTGAACTGTTATCGGTGGGTGCAAAATGCTATGTTTCCGATAGATGTCGGTAAAGTCTATTCACTTCAGTCGTAAGATATCCAAACCTGCGTAGAGGCATAGAGTCAAACGTACGAGACTCTTGCTTGGTATAGTTGCTGGCACGAAACATGAGCACAGATGAACTATGGTGGGGGTTGAGCCAGCGTAGGTACACTGTCGGCCAAAATTATTTGGTACCGTTGTTATTTCAATTCGTAATTGAATATTTTCGCTGCCTTTCGAAATTCTGAGTCGTTAACTCCTTTAATTAAACACCGTACAGTAGCTACGTAGACATTAGTCGCCTCAGCAGTCTGTTTATAAACGTCTATCATGTTTTTCGCAATACCTAATTATTTCATGTAACAAAACACTGAATAGACCATTTGTCGGGATTGTCTATTTAACACCGAATTCTTTCTTCTCTGCATATTAAGACCAAAATCCGAATGCACAAATTATAACAAATACAATAATTAACGACAAGAATTATCAAAAACAGTTAAAAACAAGAAATACACAAACAACAATTGACAACGAAGTAACACTACAATTAACAAAAATAAACTAATTAAAAAGTTCTCACTAAAATTGCTCTCAAGTGTACGGTAGTCGAATGATACGTGCGAACCCAATAGACGAAGAGAATCGGCTGACGAACCAATCACGTTGAGCGTCAGCGTGGTCAACGTCATATCGACCAATAAAAAGTGTGCTCACGACTCGTGGCGGCAATTATACTGCAGTTGTGAATGCACTCTCCTGTCGAGCGTGTTAATTAAGATGGAATCTTCGCCACAACGGGAAAGGTTCACGTCCAGCTGTAAACTTTTATTGGCTATTGAAGAAGACATCCTAAACAATTTTCTATAGATTTATTTCCTAATGATTTGTCAGAGTTTAAAAAAAATTAAAGGTATAAAACTTAATAGCATAATTTTTACACTGGAAGAAGTAAATTCAATTAAACTGTCATAAACACTGGATCTATGACGAAATGTCTGACAGTCGTCTGATAACCTTGATTCATTAAATGTGACATGCTATAAAGTAGTTGAAGCAATGGCAGTTAAAAAATAAGTATAAAAAGTAAAGTAAAGTTTCAGCCTATATACGTCCCACTGCTGGGCACAGGCGCCCCTCATTTGTGAGAGGGTTTTAGGGCAAGGAAGTGTCCGCCGCGCTGCCTCAATGCATTTTGGCGAACTTCACATTTCTCGAAATATTTTTTTTCTCTTATTCCTTAGACATGCAGGTTTCCTCACGATGTTTTCCTTCACCGTCGAGCACGTGATAAATCAGCGCTTAAAATTGCAATTAACAATTTCATTGGTGCCGACGGGGGTCGAACCCGGGTTACTCGCGTCTGTAATATTTACAGCGAGCGTTAACCATCTGAGCTACCACGGCAAAAATAAGTATACATACAAGAGAATTAATAAAATTAGTTTTATTAAATGTGTCTACTTCACATGCATTCAACAGCATGTCACTGAATCACGCGGAATGGTGCGTGCTAGTGAGTTGGCGTGTTGGAGACAATCACTCTTACGAGCTTTATGCGGCTCCGCGTGAAGCTGGCGAAGCCCCGGCTACGGAACCCGCGAGGGGACAGGCCACCTCTGCAGTGTGGGTGGCCAGGAATCGCTTCGCAGCACTAGAGAAGAACAACCAGGTGAGTTTGAAAATGAAGCGTAGAGCGAAACAATGTGTTTTTCAAGAAAGGGTGGGATAGCCTGATCTCTCTACAGTAGTGTTGAATTTGCCACCCCATTAGACTATGAGAGTGAAGGAAAAAGGAGTGCACCTGTGCCTGTACACGCACTTGTACACTATAATCACGTTCTGTGCGGACCAGCCAGTCTCCGTTGATACAGGCCACTGCGGCCTAAATTCTGTTAGAAAAATCTAAATGCAGATACGTTGTTACCTTGAGGGCTAAAATAGAACCTTGTTGTAAAAAGGCTTCAATTTTTGGCACTCACCATAAGAAACACGTAACAACATTATGCTGCTATTCGATACGGATAATCCTTACGAATAATTCAGATGGAAAATTGCACATATTCTACATATATACTGACTGCAAATATATATTTACAATCTAATTAAATTTTGTTTATTACCAGATACGCTTATGTTCTAACTATATCTACAGCTGGTGATAAAGAATCTAAAGAATGAAGTATCGAAGAAGATCGCCACTCCCACCTGCGAGGAGATCATGTACGCCGGTACCGGGATGCTGTTGTTACGCGAACCGGACTGCGTTCAACTCTTGGATGTACAGCAAAAACGCACAGTAGCCAGTGTAAGTAGTTCTAAACTTAAATATTCTATTAATTTCTATACTTAGGTGAATTATAGATTTTTATTTTTTAAGTTGTTATTAGTAAGACGCCGCTGTTAATCTCCTAGTTTATTTCCCAGGTTGTTACACCTTACAGCACCCATATCTGAGGCAGTGGATATTCAAAGAATCATGTCCAATTTTGACCTGAAAATTTTCTAACGCATCTAGTGATATAAAATATCTTACGAAATTGCCTTTATTTTGCTTATTTCGTATTGCATAATTGAATTTTCCAATAAAGCCAGAAAAAAAGTAATTGTTTATCATTCTAAATAGATTTTTGGAGACAGAACGCGTTTTACAATGACTTAAAAGCCTAGAAGCCACGCCAATATATATTTAAAAAAAAACGTTTTACACATTTCGTTTCACAAACTACGAAAATCTTATTATTTGTCATGTCGTTTATGAATGTTCAAAATAACTATATGTTTTTTGTTACTCATCTTATTATTTTATAATTAGATATGATTTTTGTGGTTTTATGCTATGGTGTGTAAAATTATTTTTCTTTCTACACCATAGTATACCATAGTGTACAGTTGACAGGTTATAACTTGAAAAACTTTAATACTTTATAGCATTTTTCCTTGGCCTCTAAATGAAAAGGTGATAAGTTATTATGTTATTATAAACAATATTTGATTTTGTGCAACAGTAGTTGTAGGTAGACGCGACCTGTAAAACGAATCAAGTGACAGGTCAATCAATGTATGGAAAGTGGGCATACTTCTTTAATTTTCTTATTTCTCAAATATTATATTAATTCTGTAAATAATATTGTAGTAATTTCTTGAGAAGTTGGCTTTTCAAAATTGACAGTCATTGAACGAAACTTGTGACAACTTTTAAACATACAGTTTGTAAGATTAGTACAATTGATTTAGGTGAAAGTGAGCAAGTGCCGCTACGCCATTTGGAACGCCGACATGTCCCTAGTGGCGCTGCTGGGCAAACACACAGTGACTCTGTGCACTCGCCGACTGGAGCAACTTTGCTCAATAACGGAAGGCTCCAGAGTCAAGTCGGGCGCATTTGACGATTCTACTCCGCAACCAGTCTTTATTTACACTACGGCTAATCACATCAAGTATTGTTGCAAAGATGGGTAGGTGGAGATATTGTTCAATATTTGTTGAAATATTATTTTATTTATTTAAAAACTTCAATGTACCTTAAAACTTAGCGTACATAAGGCAGACTTTATGCCATCTGGCATTCTCTGCCAGTTAACTCTGGGTGCCAAAGACCAATCTTACTAATATAAAGAAATACACATATATATATATATATATATATATATATATATATATATATATATATATATATATATATATATATATATATATATATATATATATACATAGAACGTAAATTCAATGAATTTAGAAAAAAAAACGCTAATTTCTTTAATAAAATTTAAAAAGTTTCTATCCGACACCGTCGTAAATTCATGGATACTAGCGCCGGAATACTGTAAAGATCACCGCCCGCGCTAGCTACCTAAACAACGTTCAATAAAACAATAACCTGTGATGTAACTTTTCCTTCATACTTTCATCCTGGCTTAGGACAGGCGAAAATTGAGGAAATATGGAAAATTATTTTAATAATAATAATTTTCATTGAATTTACGTTCTATAAGTGAAACCAAACCCACTGTTTACACACACATATATATATATATATATATATATATATATATATATATATATATATATATATATATATATATATATATATATATATATATATATTAATTATGTACCTTTATGATTGATAAAACTTAAGGTAATTGAAATAATTTAGTATTTCCTAAAAAAAAACAGTAGAAATGCAAAATAGCGTCAGGAACTAAGATTCTTACACCAGAATCATTCGATCTCGTAAATAACTTTAAAAAAAATATTTAAATTCAAAGGTGAATGGCAGATTTCGTACGCATACTTTTTTTGTTGTTTTGTTATAGAATTTGTACCACATATTAAGGCAACTAAGTTATTTACTTTCCTGTTAGTGTACTATTTTTAGAACTTGGGATTAATTAATAATATCAATAAAAAGATTTTAATAAAAAAACGTAATATAATCGTAAACTGAACGCAGTTGTTTTTAGAAGTTGCCACATGTAAAATAGCACAGATATCGAAATGATAATTAATTATTTAGAAATAGAAATAACACTACATATAATTAAACACATAATTAAAAAAAACATATATTATACCTAAGAATGCATAATTGTTGCATAAATCATAATGGTTAACGATTTAATGATAGGAATGTTTTCGTCATCAATATTTTTTTTGTTCATATGGCAATTATTTATTGACAGGTAAAGACAATCTGTCTTTCAGTTAAATTCAGTTCAGTTCTTTGCTGTTGTTTTGGATTGTAGTTTGTGACTACATCTGAGCAATTTAGCGAATTATCTGGCTGTTTTTACGTTGAGTTGAGCATCTGCTCCTCCGTACTCTATCTCTTGATAGTAGTTTCGCGAAAGGACGCTATATTAACTGTGTTGTGTGTGTACGTGCTATAATTAAAATGTCGAGTTTGCAATGTGTTAATTGCAACGTTCGCTTGTCCCGAATAAGAAGGCACGTTTTATCCGATGAGAGTGAAGATGTCGTCAATACTATTCGACTGTGGACATATCCTAGAGACGTAAGTAGTTTACGAATAACATTCCACATATGAGTGGGCTAGTGACGAACTCTGTAATGAGTTTTACGTGTTGAAAAGTAGTCCTGATCATTTAAACCACACCATACCACACTAAATATGTATATAATATTCTAAAAACTAAAAAATAAGGTTATGTGTATGCATACAATTTGTTATTTACATGTATCTTGGTTCTCCTTAGTGTTAGAATAGGTATTAGTCTGATAGTATGACCACTGAAAAGGAGAGGAAAGTATATAATGTTGAACAGTACTCCAAATAATTTCATTATTTCCAGATAACACCTGCTGACCATATTTGTCATCCATGCTGGCAGCTAGCTACTCATTCAATTTCATCTAATAATATTCCGAGAAGACGAGTTGGCCATCAAAAAGTATGTGTTGTATGCGGACGATCCATACTTAGAATTAGTCGACATAGGATTTTGATTGAAGGGGCCAATGAAGAAGAACAAAGAATGGCTAATACAGTTTCTACTTGGATCCAACCACGAGAGGTATACCTACTATAATTATTATTAAATATTTTTATTTCATTTAAACTAAAAAATAAACTAACTAAGAAATAAAATAATATTAATTATTTCCCACTATTATCATGCATGTTTGAGTGAAAGTTTTTATTTATTTATATTTTTGTTTTAGCTTTGTTCTGAAGATGAAGCTTGTGTGCCATGTTGGCTAAGAGCTAGAAGAACGAGGATCGCTCCACCAGTTGAAGACATTCAACCCCCTTCACCCGATCATGTGGATGGTGATTATTCTGTTTTAATGTGTGCTGTATGTGGACGGAGTCTGTCCACCACAACATCAGATGAAGAGTGGAATTCCGACAATATTGCCCGTTTGTTGGAGCATCAGCAGGTATATATGAGATAATATATTTACAGTAACTAGCTTATAAACACTTGCCATGCAAAGGGCTTTACACTTAAATGTTGCTAACCCTGGGATACTCATGAGGTTGGTTCTACTAACAACAAAGAGCCCTTCTCCTTTACTCCAATGAGCAATAAACTTATTCACTCATAGAAACACAACATAGCTATTTGGTAAAGGTTTTCTGTAAGGTGAAGGAAACCAATTATTATCCATACATATAGTATCTCAAGAACCATTCTCCAGCTTGGGTTGCCCAAATTCAATCAGAAATCTCACTGTACCCTACATCTTTCTTGTTTGTGTTTCTTTTATGCTTGAACATGTTGGCGACAACTTATGTCTATTGAACTTAGTGTTTAATTTGTATTTCATATATAATAGTATTGACTCTTTTGATATCAATGGCCATCTCATGAAATTAATTATTTACAGATGTCATCCATGAATGAAGTTTGTGGAATTTGCTGGGACCAAGCTCGAGATTTGAGCTTACATGTTCCAGAAGAACCACAAGAAAGACCCCAGCATATTGTGTTGCCCAACATAAGAAGAGCGGCTGAAACACCCAAGCATTGCATTTTCCAAGAATGCATGGAACCAGAGCGAAATGTTGTGCCTGAAGAAACCAGGCGAGAAGTATTAATTAGGTATCAATATTTTATACCAAGAGGTGCTCGTATTTGTTCTCTGCATAGACAGGAGGCAAATTATGAAAATCTGTATTCTGCTGAATACAGCCTTAATTACTTTACTTCCATACAAATAGAAGAGATTATTTTTATATTAATGGAAGGACTTCATAACATTTCTTATGAAAATATTCAAAACTACCCTGATAACTAAGTGCAGTACTTTATAGGCATAAGTAAACAAGAACATCAACAAATATTAGAAGCAACACCTAGGCTGAGGAATATGCATCGGGGTAGTTTTGCATTAACAGCCTTATTGTGCAAGTTAAGGACTGGAGATTCAGGAGACAGATTGTCGTGCTTATTTCAAGTACCAAGAAGGACCATAGAAACATTAATGTCTGTAGCAAGAAATATCTTGTTAACAGACTATGTTCCACAATTTCTTGGATTTTCTCATTTAAGAAGAGAGCAGGTGGCAGCAAAAACTACCAACATTGCCAATCACATTTTTGGTGAGCCTGATGCGCCAGCTGAACAAAAACCTGCAATTACAATAGCCGATGCAACATATATATATACACAAAAAAGCAGTAATTACTTGTTCCAAAAAGACACATATTCCCTACATAAATATAGGAACTTAATAAAGCCTTTTATGCTCTGTACCTCTGATGGATATATCATAGATGTACGTGGACCATATAGTGCCACTACAAATGATGCGACCATAATGAATGATTTATTAAACGAAACGGAATTCAATAATTTTTATAGAGAAAATGATGTTTTTATTGTAGATAGAGGATTTCGTGACTGCATGGATAGTCTGCATGAGAAAGGATATATAGGCCATATGCCTGAAATTAAAGAAGACGGCCAATCACAGCTATCCACTCTTGAAGCCAACAGATCACGTTGTGTAACTATAAACAGGTGGGTAGTAGAAGCTGTGAATGGCCGTTTTAAAAGGGACTTCAAAATATTCCGCCATGAATATTTTAACCGTGGTTGTCGCAATCTAATGACAGATTTTAAAATAGCAGCTGCTCTGCTAAATGCGTTTACTCCACCATGCACAGAAAATATACATGCAGAGCAGTTTGTTTCAATTATATATGAGCGCCTGTTTTTAACCAACACTATAGCCGAGTTAGTTAGGGAACATAATTTAAACAGGCGCGGTTCCTGGTTTGTACCCATAGATGCGACAACCCTATCTTTTCCGCGGCTATCCATGGAGGAATTGATACTATTTGCATGTGGTGTATACCAAATTCGCCAGGCTCGTTCATATGTAGGTGAGCATTTCCGCTTTCATGGAATATACACATTAGAGGTATCCCGAGAGAGAATACGTGGCTTAGAGGGAACAAACCCAATGTTGCTTCGTGCTAAAATAAAGTCCCGCCATTCTTTTGCTAAAACTTATTTTGTATTTATAGTTGCAGAAACAAACATGAATGGTCGGGACGCAATCAGGAGTTATTGTTGTAATTGTATTGTAGGTTTAAGAACCGTGGGATGCTGCTCACATGTGATGAGCATTATTTGGTACCTTAGTTATGCTCGCCATGAGGGTATTACCCGACCTGCCCCCTTCTTAGATGAAGTAATATTAAGAATAAATTGAATTTAAGTACAATAAAATAAATGTACTTGCAAAAACAAAGCATTGTTTCATTTACCTACACTCAAAACCCTACCAGAACTTCATCATTATCAAACTTTTGTTCTATCAAACAGTCCGCTGCTAGCTATAGGTATCCCCTAAAGCACCCCACTGAGTATGTAGGTACGATCCTCATCTCAAACTACCTACTTATTGGTAAGTAAAACACTACAAAGATAGCGACAAGCAATCTAGAACATTTACTTTATAACCAAAACAATGTTTATGTGCCTATATGTAACAATTTACATTGATACACTAGTACATAACCTTAAAAAATAAAATTGGTTATAACTTTTACGTCCCAAGTTTTAAAAATCTAAGAATTTAAAAAGTGCTTGTCTATCCTACTAACTACCAATTAAAACAAAAAAATATCCCAAAACACGAAATTTTTTAGGTGTACGAAATTCTCATACAAGCCTGCCGTTCGCCTTTAGAATTATATTGAATGGTTTATGAAGTTGTAACTAATACCGAACAAAAAGTTTCTTATATTGTTGTCTTTTGTCACAGTGATTATGGCATCATTCGTACTTTGGACGTGCCCGTGTACATTGTGAAAGTAATTGCCAATGAAACTGGAGCGAGGGTAGTCTGCCTTGATAGAGAATGTCGCCCAAAAGTACTCAACATCGACCCAACGGAATACAGGTATTTTTAAAGTATTATATTGCATCCTAAGTATTACCAGTTTTGAAAAGCTTAGTTGTTTTTTCTTTTATAATTTTAATGTGATATGTGAGCTAACTAGTCTGATAAACTTGAAACAAGGGTTGTTTGTGATGTATTATAAATTTATAAACCTTGGTCTCATCATCAGTCATCAGATGACCAAGATTAGATGTTTCAGAACTTTTATATCTTTAATAAGGGTGACAAACAAGCACTGTATGTCCAATGGTAGGTGGATCCCATGGCCCATAGATCTCTTCACCTAAGTTTAATTAAGATTCAATCAGATGCATTGTCATTTCCTGAGCACTAGGATTGAATGCCTCATTTCCAGTAAAAAGGGTCTCCGGTTCTCTGCGCTCGCCACACATGGTGCTATTGCTAGTTTATGCTGATAATCTGTGGGAGTGTGATCCTGACCTGGCGGAGCTGATCTATTCATACTACAACCATGAGCGATCTATGAGCGGAGGCGAGTGCCAACGTATAGACAGCCCATTTGTCCAGCCTCGCCATTGCTCGTCGACGCTCGCCTAGCTGGCCAAGTACAGGAGAGCGCCAACGTGTCGTGTTTGCATCGTGCCTTCGGCAGTGTCTGTTTTTCTGAAAAATACAAAGGCGCTCGCTTGAACTCATCACGTCGTGTCCACATGTTAACCATGTCAGTATGTTCACTCGTTCAAACTTGGCCAACATGCAGACTGTAGCACTCGCATTGTATCAATTTGGCTACGCTCGCATTGGCTGAGGTTTGGCAATGATATATTACCGGCTTTAAATGTTTCTCAGACATAGAATATTATAATACACAATAGAATGGCTGTCAACTTTATTTTGTACGAGATTCGGCGTCATCGGGAGCACACATATAACCAATTATGTCGTATTATCAGTTAATCACTACTACAAACCCGATTCGCTGTGTTGACAGACGGATTTTAATACATATTTATTTGTAAATAGCGTGCAATTTGGCATTTTCTAAATAATTTGCATGCGAAATTTGGAAACGATTGTAACGTCAAAACACATCTCGTGTTGAAATTTATACGTGTGAATTGACGTGTTAGTGGCATGTTAGTGGCTACACGGGCTCCGCCCACTCCCCCGTTCTATTATGTATGTATTATAGTATTCTATGGTTTCAGAGCCTCTAATTTTGCTGGACCTTTTTATCCTTTCAACTAATCTTTTTTCTTCTACATTTGATTTGTCAATTTTGACAAACAAACTTGCAAGCAACCGTATAGTAAGTGGTTGTTGCTGTCCATAGTCATCGGAAATTAGTTTCAAACAAACTGAGCTACAGATGCTTGTTACTTTTAAAGATTAATATACAATGCCTCATAGATATAACAAAATAAACAAATTTAAACTAGCACAAACTTTTCAAACAATTTTTTCCACGATCACAGGTTTAAGTTGGCGTTGGTAACCCGCCAATATGATCAAGTTCTCCACATGGTTCGTACGGCCAAGTTAGTCGGACAGAGTATAATCGCGTATTTGCAAGAGAAAGGTAAGATTTTGAGATTAATGTTTAAGTTTTTTAGCATTTAATTTTTTTCATTCATGAACATAGGCAATATATATAATGGGTGATATGTTTCCATAGTTTCCTGATTGGTAACCGGAGATGTTCTAGTTTTTATTAGGAAAATGCTGCCGCCCATCTCCTGCTTTGAATCACTCTGTCGCCTCTCGCGACATCCACGTGACTTGGTCACTTATTGTTTAAATAAAAGGCGAAAAACCGTTCCTGAGTTGTTTGAAATAAAACTTACTTGCTTTGTAATTTTACACAAAAATGGGACCTTGCACTTTATCTTCCATGTATTCAAATATTATGTATGTGTATGTGTAAGTATTTTTTTAATTCAACACTATTGACAACAAAATTGTGATTGTTAAATGATAAGATTAGACCTTTTCATACGTAAAATTAGATCTTCAAATAGATCTTTAGAAAATAGATCTTCAAAAATGGTTAATTAAATTTCATACGTAATTGTAGAAGTGTTATTTGGAACGAAGTTGCGGGTAAAAGTTAGTTATAAATATAATTTACAAAACGCGAAAAACATAACCAAATGCCGTTCGACTTTAATAAGAGTTATCAATTTGTGAAAAAACCTCTTATGACTTGTATGCAGGTTACCCCGAAGTGGCTCTGCACTTCGTAAAGGATCCACGCACTCGTTTGTCCCTCGCCTTACAATGCGGGAACATTGAGGTCGCTTTGGAGGCTGCTAAAAGCTTGGATGAGCCGGACGCTTGGGACAAATTGGCTCAAGCTGCTTTAACAACAGGAAATCATCAGGTACGCTACTGTACTATAAAGAACAAGGACCATGTTCAGGGCTTACCTGTAATAGCAACGTTTAGCAATATCGGTTTGAGAGTTAGAGTTACATTTGGGGCTTGGGAAATTTTGTTATGGGGTCTTGGCGTAAGAGAGTTCACCACCTTATTTTGTTATGTGGGTTTCTTAAGAGGTAACCACAGAAAATGCTTGAAATATGGCTTTCTATGAATAGTTGTATAACCATCTCGTCTTTTCGTTTACGCCATACATATATACCATCACCGGTGACGGTCACGACGTCAAATGTGAACGCGAGATGTCTAGTAATAGTGAAGAAAAACCATCTGTCCATTTTGTTGCACCCATGTCAGCCAACAGATTGAGTCTTCTTACTCAGCCTCCAGAGACCGATTAGTTCCCATATTAAACTCCAGTCAGAGATATTTAAAAAATAAATGGCTTTGATGATTATCTAATAAGCTAAGAGATACGAAAAAAAAGTTCGAATTAAATTTTTTTTGATTTGCAATTTTACATAAAAAGGTCCATGCACTTTATCTTCTATCTCTTTCATATTTGGATGCAGAATGGGTTTTTAACATTTTTTTTACTCAATAACCATTTTGTACATAATCTTACATACTAGTTCTCCATGGAAAGTTAAGAACATGTGCATTGAATCCTTAAAATTATGTGATTTAGTGAGTGCACTATTGGTGGTGTATTATTATCTTTTTTCTATATAAAACTGAACTAACAAATGAACTTAAAGTGCACCTTATGCCCGCTACACAAGTAACGATATATCAAGCGATGTCGGACTGTGCAGTTAAATGGAACGCTCCTTGTGTCTTCACACGCCACCGATATCGGCGTCGATCTTCAGTTTACTGCAGAAGCTCGCGCAAGTAACATGTTGTACACGATGGCAGACGATGACGCATTTGCGTTTATTGGGTACGATTATTAAAAAAAAAACAAAGTCGCTCAATGTGTGGTGTTTGCGACTGGCTCATGAAGAAAAGCTATTTTCTCATACGAACTTATTGAGTTGAAAAAAGTAAAATTCACGGCACGCGAAGACAAAACTGTTTAAACGCAATCGACATCGATTTATTTAATAGTAATTGCAACTGCCGTCTTGATCGAACGATAATCTGCAACGATTTGTCATACACACGATCGATAAATCTGTGCAAATCGGTTTGCACCGATTAATCGTTTCGATATATCGTTACATGTGTAGCAGGCTACTGCAGTTCATCACACCACGTTTAAACGTGGTAGAACCATTCTGCAGTTATATATTAGTTGTATAATTGTAGTATGAAGGGGTCGCCCCGACCGGGCAAAGACCACGCTCTAACAGAATACCAACGTAATATAGTAGCTTAATGCTGCTGTGTTTCGTATGGTTATGGTGGAGAACCGGAGACTCTTTTTAATGGAAACAAAACATTCCATCTTATTCCTCACGGGTGACAACGCATCTGCATTTTGATTCGTAATCGAGGATGTATCTATGGGCCACAGCAACCACTTACCATCAGGTGGACTGTGTGCTCGTTTGTCACCCTATCCTATAAAAAAAACACCTGTAGCTAACTTTAATCGAAGAAGATGCGTCGTCACCTCTGAGGATTAAGATGGAATTGTCACAGCTTATAATTATACTGGCTCTCTATGCCCTTCAGAACGGAACACAGCGGTGTAAGCGCTGTTATTTGGTGGTAAGACGGTGGTATCTAGCTGGATAAACTCTACCACTAATATGTCAAGCATCCGTAAGAAACCTAATCAATTACTTGGGTTAATGCAATACTTAATGATTTGCTATCATCTTAATGATTTGATATCATTTATCTATATATGGTATAATATACTAGCTGGCCGGGCAGATGTTGTTCTGCCCTTTTCGCAGACTTCTTGTCATGTCCCATTAAAGATCCTTAAATTCGCAAAATAAATTGTGGGTCACTAATGGGCAAAAAAACTATCCTATCTCTCAAATTGGGCCAAAACGGTGTGAAACTTTGATTAAAATCGTTTTAGTAGTTTAGGAGTACATCGCGGACAAAAAACTTGACACGTAATTTATATATATAATATATATATATATATATATATATATATATATATATATATATATAGTAGTTTTTTTTAGGGTGACAAACACCCCTGATGATTAAGATGGAATGCCTCGTTTCCAGTAAAAAGGGTCTGCAGTTCACTACGCACACACACACTAAACACCACACGAAACACAGCAGTCTTAAGCTGCTATTTGACGCTGGTGTTCTGTGAGAGCGCGGCCCTGCCCCGCTCGAGCCGACCCTAACTACGCTGACTAAAAAAGCTGCAACGTGGCTCCACCACGTGATAAACGTGTTTGTAGTATATATCACATTTGTAACCTAAAAAGCTTCAAGTCATATTAAATATTAAGTTTGCCACCAGATCGTAGAAATGTGCTACCAACGCACAAAGAATTTCGACAAACTATCCTTCCTGTACCTGATCACCGGTAACCTTGAAAAACTGCGGAAGATGATGAAGATAGCTGAAATACGGAAAGACGTCTCATCACAGTTCCAAGGGGCATTGCTGCTAGGCGACGTTCGGGAAAGGATTCGGCTGTTGAAGAACGCTGGACAGGTAATCTTAATCGTCATATAAGATAAAACAATTATTTTATTTTATTTAATACATACTAAGAATGATTAAAGTCCTTGCTTACGTTAGAATAAGTTTGATTTCAATGCTTTGGATTCAATGGATTTATGCCTGTTGTAGACAATGCATTGTAGCTTGTGCAAGTGGTTTTTTTGTCATAAAATTTCGTCAAGTATACTCTCTATTCATCCGCCTTAAAAAACCAAGGGAGGAGTTCTCAATTAGACTGTATGCTTTATATATGTTTCACGATTTAATTATGAGTTGAGTGTCTAAGGTTTAATTATGAGTACAATCTACTTAAAAGTCAGTCAATTTGTCATATTTAAAAAAAAGTACCAACTCGTAATTAACAAAGTTCAAAGGTTTAAGTACAAAATTTGTTTTCGTTTATTGCCATGGTTGTTTTAATTTTTTGACGTGACAACGTCTAATAAATCGATGAACACCGGCTGTACGCACGAAAAAGGATGACTCATTGTAACGTTACGCTCATTGTAACGTTACGATCGGAGCGAGAGCGCTGCGCGATCGAGCGAAAGGCACGATCGGCTTGAGCGTTGGGCTTGCGCCGCATCTATCTCTCTTCCACAAAGTATGCAATCATTTCTTCAATGATTTGTTATGACGTCGTCACGTTAAACTATTATCCGTAAGCCGACTTTACAGACAACTAATTTATTTACAGATATCCTTAGCGTACTTGACGGCGATAAACCACAAGCAATTCGAGGAAGCGGAGCAACTAAAGGCTGCCTTGGAAGCGGCGGGGCTGCCCATTCCTGAGCCAAACCCTGACGCTGTTTATCTTCGACCGCCATTACCTGTGCAAAGAGCTCAACCTAACTGGCCTTTGTTGGCTGTTTCTAAGTAAGTATTTTTATTATTTATTTTGTTATAAAATTAATTGAAGTAGTGCTATACTCCCGACATGTCAAGGTGTATATATATATATACATATATATATATATATATATATATATATATATATATATATATATATATATATATATATATATATATATATACACACAACATGTAACATAATTAACGCACTTTGAGAAAGTAGTTTGTTCGGAATCGTTTACTTAATCGATTCCTATCATTTTTAATATAGGTAATTTTTTATTCCAAAAATAATTTAAAACTACTTAAATTACAGTCACACTAAATCTGTAGTCAAAACAAACTGAAATGGACCGTAACTCAAGGCAATAAGACTTTTAAGAGTGCAGTTTTATTTGTATTATTACTAATTCTGTCATTCAATAAAAATAAAGAAAAATGAACTTTATTTCAAGCATGTTAAAGTCTTTGCGTTCGTGGGTTTGTACTGTGACCACAACATTCTTCCGGAATTAGTATAACTAATTTGATAAATATTATCAGTGCATAAAAATGTTTAACTAAAAATTCAGTGTATGTATTATGATTATAACATAATATGCTAATTGGGGTGTCTGAGGGCATGCGTTAATTATGTTACATATTATATATATATTATTTTTTTATATATATATATATATATATATATATATATATATATATATATATATATATATATATATATATATATATAAAGAAAACACTAATTAATCCATCTTATATTTTCAAAAATAAGATGATTTTTTTTCTACTTTGAAATAAAAACTGTTTGAAAAGAATTTTATATATCCGGATGTCTGTACGCTGATTTGGTATTATTATTTCGGAACCACATGCTCATGGTAACTCCCGAAATAATTAATGTATCGAGACCGGGTTTTTTTTATTAGCTTCAGAATTACATTAACTGGTTCCCTAATTTATTTTTTACGTAGTTTGTTAATAAAATTATTTTTTATAAATGTACCTTCTACCTAGTAATTACATTTGATTTTTAGGACAAAGAACAAAAAAGGACAAATGTACCATACACCCTATAACAAAGGAAAAATGTACCATACAGCCTGTATCGATTTTATGCTCTGTGTGATCGATTTATTTTGGTAATTATTTTTTTCATTAAAATTAAAGGTGTGTTTCCGATATATGTACTCTGTGACCACTGTAAATTCAGTATACTGACTGGCAATTCAGTATACTGTGAAGTCGTTCCTTTTTATTTTGCTATACTGGTTACTGTTTAAAATGGAATGCAGGCTAATATACTGTCATCCCCATTTTTCGACACTGGTTTCAAATGAAAATATTTATCATGTACATGTTTGTCATGTACATGTTATTGATTTTAAAACGTAATGTCGGAGTTTATTTGAATAACAATATCAATTATTAAAATAACAATCATTCGTTGAAGGTGTTAAATCTTTAGGCGCTGTTTTTCGATCACGTGATAAAAGTACTGAAAGCACCTTACCTTGTAAGCCCCAGTAGTCACAGTATAATAATGGCGATTTATGACGTCATATGTTTCCCTAAGGTGCTGCGGCAGTATGCTGGCGCTCCGTAACGGGACGAAATTTTTATCAGTGAGGGCACTGAGCGGTGCTCGCTGTGTATATTAGAACACGACCAACACGAAACGCTCATGAGTCGTGCATTTTTGGATTTTTCAACTTCAATTATTTATTCTATCATGCAGAGAACGTCCAAGCATAGCCCCTTCCGTAGATCATTTAGCGACTAACTTTCGTCATCCTACAAGCTGTTAAGGACAATTATACTTATATAGTAGCGTGCCCCGGCTTCGCTTCGATAGGACACATGTGTGTTTTTAAAACACTTTTTTTCAAGTTTTTCGGTTATAAGTGGTAAAATTGAAAACTTTGTACAGTCGTTTTCAATAATAAATAAAATGATAACATCATCAATGTAGTCTACGTGAATTAAATACGTATTAATAAGGCTGAAAACGTTCTGGTCAGATCTTGATCAAATTTATATAGGACCATACGAGAAGCACAAGTTTTCAAATAAAAAAATAATTATTAAAATCGGTTTACCTAGAAAAAAGTCCTGAGGTAATAACACTTTAAAAAATACATTCGAATTCAGAACCTCCTCCTTTTTTGTAGTTGGTTGATAAATATAGCCCAGATCTCTCCTGGCATTACTCTATATCTGTTCGTAAAGTTTCATCATAATCAGTTAGCCATTCTGAAGATTGTTATGAACAGAGACCGACAGAATTATTATTTATGCCTTTTTTTTATTAAGAAAACCAACAGCTTAACAAATTATATTTATTATAACTGTGTGTAACGTAGTAATGCCAATAACAGGTTTCCGTTTCCCTTAAATTAATAAATGGCACTGTAACAATCAAACTTTGTTAGTGCTCAAGTTAACTCTATAAAAATATACCAAGGAATTCAAGGATGCCATCCGCTTAAACCTATCAATATCATAGATAATTAAGTAAATACTCTAAACTATACACGGCACAAAACAAATCAAGTAGAGACATACATTGTACATGTTTCCGAAAGTAATATATAAGTACCACCCTTTATAGACATACACATAGATAATGACACAAGATAAAGACGAAAAGATCGACTGAAAATCAGCGTCGCTATCCTGCGGCTTATGCTGAGGCGGTCCCTTCCGCCACTTCATCTGTTTCGATTATTAAGTCATGAATTGTTGTTATATCCTCTATTTTTTTTGTTTATTAATTTTCTTGTGTTTTTATTTCTTTTATTTTATTCTTATTCGTCTTAATTTTGTTTATTAATTTGTGATTGTAATCTGAAATGTCGGAATAAATGTCTTTATGTCTTTAAAGGAAAAGAAAAGTTTATAGTACAACTATTGTTTATAGAGCTTAAAATTTATAAGAGTTTTTGACGATATCTATCGCCTACTTTTTGAAAGTTAACTTACTTGAGCGAAATAAGTCAACCTGGCTAAACTTTGCATTGTATGTTCGAGGTAACCTAACCATGACAGTATTAGATCCGTAGTTATTGCGACTAGGAGCGCAGAATGCTACTTTATGCAACAGATCTGAGCAGTCTACTCTGTCCCGAACAATATCAAATAGGAAGCAAACATCTAGTGTGTCCCGTCTTCCAAAGTTAGTAGACTATTTTTGTGACAGACTTGGGTATATGATTCGTGCGACCGACGACGCCGGTACGAGATGTGTCTTGCCTTAATAGTATAAAAATCAATATAGGGATATAATACCTCCTTAGTTTAATAGATGGCAGTTATTTTAGTTTTATTTATGTGTATAGATAATGAATTTATTGTGTTCAGGAGTTTCTTCGAGGTAGCGGGGGGAGCGCGGGCGGGAGGGGCGGAGGGCGGCGCGGTGGCAGCCGCCGGCACTGGAGACGAGCCGCTGGAGGCTGCCGGCGCCGGGGGGGACGAAGACGACGTCTTATTGGACAATAAGGTGCGTTCTGATTGTCCATTCATATTCCTATCTAACACCGTAGACAGAGAAACCTATAGACTAATGATTAGCGTGGCCTCGAGTGAGAAAGGACGATAACGTAGTTTTAGGTTATACAATAATCTTTATGACTTTTAAACATATATAGATAAAATTTTTAATTGTTCTAAGTACTGAACTGAGCCGTGGTAGCTCAGTGGTTAACGCTCGCTGTAAATATAACAGAACGCGAGTAACCCGGGTTCGATCCCCGCCGGCACCAATGAAATTGTTAATTGCAATTTTAAGTGCTGATTTACCACGTGCTCGGCGGTGAAGGCAAACATCGTGAGGAAACCTGCATGTCTGAGGAATAAGAAAAAAAAATATTTCGAGGACATGTGAAGTTCGTCAACACGCATTTGGGCAGCGCGGCGGACACTTCCTTGCCCTAAACCCTCTCAGAAATGAGGGGAGGCCTGAGCCCAGCAGTGGGACGTATATAGGCTGTAACTTTACTTTACTTTTACTGAACTGAACAAGATTCACCAATCTTAGCTCACAAAACACTTTTTTCTCACTTAAACCAACTTGAAAACTCCTTAGATCGCTACGAACTCTCAAACTTTGTTTAGCAAAGTGTAGTTTGCTAAACAAAAAAATCGGCACGGAAAAAGAAACAAAAAATCACACCGCTCTGTCTCATTTCTATGCAAGACGTATGCATAAATCTATCTCTCATCTTTTTCGTATGCGAATGCGAGAGAAGGCGTCAATTTGTCTATAGGTTTCTCTGTCTACGTCTAACACATATATCTTCTATCATCTGTATACACACATTGTTTGTCCCATAATCGTTCCCCGATTATGATGAAACTTTGTTGAATTATTGTGTGTGCGCCCGCGAAAGTGTCTGACAAAAGATGAATGTTTGTTTGTGTGTTTGTTCATTTTCTATACGTTCCATGTACGCGCCTCTAAAAAAATTTTTAATAAAAGAAGGCATTACAACGCATGGTGGGTAAAAGTATGTGTTCAATAAAATAACAACTTAGATACTATATCTTACTGCTCGGTACTTTCTTTGGTACTTAAAGGAGTTAAGGAATTTCACGCAGACTTAGCATCACAAGAGGAAACAATGAGAGAACTGAATAATACAACCGAGCAGCTGAGAACGCAAAGTGATTGATAAAGAAAAAGGACGGAAAAAAGAAATGGAGAGATGTATAAATTGCTTTTTAATTTATTAAATGTCGTCAAAATATATTTACTTAGACATGTAAGTTTTCATAGATTTTTTTCCTTCACTTCAGAACATTAGCCAATTAGCACCGAAAAGGTCGAACTTTAGTTGCTTAAATACTTTAAAATATTTAACGAACACTATCTAACATTTTATGTCTTAATACTTGGGATGTGTGTTGGTGGACTACGGCGAGAGGAGTTCTTTCGCCAGCCGCCACAGCTTGAAGCGAAGTTGCGAGGAAGAGGAGACTCCACGACTTTGACGGGACCACACCTCTGTTGCGGTTATGATGTGGCCGTTTGAAAAGAAGAGCGTCAGAAATGCGGGACACCGTTCTCCCTACCCTCCCCGCCCGAAACTTGGTTAGCGGTGGAGTCATAGACCAGATCCGTTACTAGAATCAGAAAGGCTTATTGTGCTCGTCTTTTCATGGCTACATGGACATACTCACACATGGTCCATTGCGTTGCTGGAGTTGGAGGTCGCGCATGAAAGCGCGGTATGATCTAGTGTGCCTTACCTTAAAAGAAGGAGGAGATGTCTTCTTCTGAGTTCTGATTTGTTCGAAAGTGCTTTCGTGGCCCTGCCAAAATGCGGAGTTTTTTTATAATGAATAATTTTGCGCAAATTTTAAATTAAAGAGAAAATTTTCACATTTAATTTTTATAATTCGTCGTCTATTAAGTCGAAGTTGTTACTTTGATTTTGAGACAATTCTTAGTTCACCTCAAAGGATCTAGTTATTAAACCTAAAAAGCGACCTTAAAAAGTAAAAAGTTAATACTAAGACATACTGTATCGAAGAATGAAAGACCAAATTTTAGAAGCTATTAAATTATGTGAAAATTATGTTTTTTAATTTTTTTTTAATTTTTTTTTAATTATTTTGAAATGATCTTTTCATTACAGGAAACACTTTTTGGACATTAAATTAATTTCACTATCCTATTTAGAGAACTTTTATTATCGTAATTTAATTACTTTATAATGAGATATAAGATTGTTTTTGTTTTTTAGGAGGAGGGTGAAGAGCCAATGGAGGATGCGTGCGATGACGGAGGCTGGGATGTGGGAGATGAGGACTTGGAACTGCCGGAGGAATTGGCCCCCGTTTCTGGTAATAACCATATTATATCGTAAACATTCGAAAGTAGACTGACACAAGCTTCGATCAACAATACCAACGGCGCAAGAAATCCAGCTCAGTAAATAAGAGCGCACATGAGACGTGAGCTCTTGCACGTGAGAGTGTAGCTCGCAAGGTAATAACGGGAAAAAGAACTTTATTTGTTACGATTTAAGGTTGATTTCGCACTAAATGTTATTTAATTTATGTCTTTTCATAGTATATATTCATGCGGACAGTATTTACCTATGATTTTGTATATGACCCGTTATCTAGTTGGTATTGTTGATCGAAGGATACAAGGATTAGGAGACCCAAAAAATTTGAGAGGTTTTCAGTTTTAATGCATATTTTTGTTTTAATGTATCTACCAATTACTTAATGAAGTTATTTTGAATTTTGCAATTTTATGGTCGAAATAGATACGATAATTCTGCAAATTATCGTATCTATTTCGACCATGGCCACATATTTATTAAATTATCCAGTACTCTATCGGAAGATCACGAACAATTATACTTTTAACGTGTGATCAACCAAATCAAACCGGTGAGAAATCCAAACATGTCATAGCTTTCAACAGTTAGCGCTATAACTATTATGTATTATGCTGGATGTCAAAAGTTTTGAGTACGAGTTAGAGTACATTAAAGAGCAAAATGCTTGGGCAATTTTCACAGAAACATTCATAGTAAACTCATATAGTTTATGTTTACGTATGCGCTTCTAGGCCACTCGGGCGGCTGTGAATACTCTGTAACATGATCGAACATTTTCGAGCATCCGCGTGCAACCACGCGTTATTGACATTCGCCGCCGCAATCAGAATGATGGTCTCAGTGAAAAATTGTTGCAAATTTTGAAAAAATTGCAAAAATTACGAACACACTGAGTTTTAAGTTATAACAGCGACAGTTCAAGTAGCAGTGTGGATACTAGCGCGACCGCTATTGCTGCCAAGTGTTTACGCGACGGATTTTTACTCTCAGTGTGCTTAAAATGCTCGAAGAAAACTACATGTTCGAGCATTTTACTGCTCAATGTGCACTGACCCTAATACATCCGTGGCGTCCTTTGTCTGACGTTGGTTGGAGATTTTAATGGGTGTAAATTTGCTATAGTAGCATTTAAAAACAATTCTATGGTTTCAACTATAACTTTTAGATTTTAATTACTTCATTAATTTACTTCAACATTTTTGTTTTTATTTTTTGTACAATATCGGCGCCATAGGCTTCTATACTCCGTTCACATGTTATACCCTATTTTTTCAAGACAGTAAGAAATGTCATCCATATATACTAGTCGTGCGGTAAAGTAAAAAAATATCCCGTTTTTGAAAATTTGTGAGCTAGACACCTTCTGAGAGTTTTTTACATAATTATTTTTGATTTTGTTATTACTTTTGTTAAATCGCTGTTATTGGTTTTGATTATTATTTATTGTAAAGCGTTGTTAGTTATTTCGTCGTTATTTTGTGTTTTTCTTTTATTATTTTAACTACATTCTGTTAACAATGGAGCGTAAACGCGGGAATGTAGTAGTACATTGTATTGTATATAACCCAATAAAGTTTTTTTGAGGAAGAGAAAAATCTGGAACGTTGTAATTATTATTACCATAATTGCCTTTTTTGGATGAAATGAATAAGCAAAATTTCACAAAATATATTGAGGAAATATTAATCCCAAACATACCTCTAAATAGTATCGTGGAGATGAACAATGCGCCGTATCACAGCATATAACTAAGTAAACCACCATTAGTAGCAAACCGAAAAGGTGAGATACAAAATTGGTTACGCGAAAGTGGTATACATTATGACGATTCATGGACAATATGAGCTTATAAAATTAGTTTAAAAAAATACAAAGATTACGCTATAGATAAATTACCAGCTAATCACGGCCATGAAACATTAAGATTACCACCATACAACTGTGATCTAAATCCGATAGAATAAGTGTGAAATCTGGTAAGACAATGAATGGTCGAAAAGAACGTCTATCAGCTGAAATAAACGTAGAAGTATTGGCGTATGAAGCAATAACCTCAATTACGACCGTGGATTTGCGAAAAGAAGTTATTCACATTAAAAAAAATTGAAAAATGATTATTGGACGAAGGAGGTAACGAATGAAAAATTTTCATTGAAAATGACTTTGAAGAGTTTATAGTTAATGTTGGGCTGAAAAGCGATTGTGATAGCGCTAGCTGCTCCGATTCAAACAATGATCATGAAGATAACAATGGGATGTCCGGAGTCAAAGTATTCTCACACGATTCTGATGAAAGTTCAAGAAGCAAAATTGAATTTTCAAAGATTACTACTATATGTAAAAAATAAATGTCTATAGAGTTTCTTGCCTGTTTGTCATATTTGAAATATTTTCTTGGCTGTTATTTAAATAAATGTGAACTTAACTTCGTGATTAATTGACTAATCTATACTTATAAATAATTCAATTTTATCCAAACGAAGCCAGTGCGGATCACTGGGTATGTTATTTTAAAATTAATGTGTCTACTTCTGTAAATAATTCTACTCAAATATTTTCCCGTTAATATGAAATTTCCAATTAACCGAATAATATACCTAACGTTTTAATTAGCATAATAACGATATACCGTTATTAGCGGGTTGTTATTTGTATCGTGCATGGTTTTTTTATAGGAAAGGATGACAAACGAGCACACAGTCCACCTGTTGGTAAGTGTTTACTGTGGCCCATAGACATCTACATCTATCCTCGATTATGAATCAAAATGCAGATGCGTTGTCACCCGTGAGGACTAAGATGGAATGCCTCGTTTCCAGTAAAAAGGGTCTCTGGTTCTCTACACTCACCATACGAAACACAGCAGTGTTAAGCTGCTATTTCACGCTGGTGTTCTTTGAGAGCGTGGTCCTTCCCCGGTCTAGTCGACCCATTCGTGCTACAACTATACTACTAATATAATTACAGCAAGGCTCCACGTAAACTTGGCAAGTGCTATGGTGACGGTACAGACTCGATGAGCGCCATATATAATCCCATTCTTTATCCGTACCGTACGTTTAGGCATAGATGTTTTATGTTGTGATGGCGAGCGAGTTTTACTTTAATTATTTTTTTAGTTTGATTTGTTTAGTTTAGTTCTGATAGTACCCCATAATATATTTTTTTACTTGCGAGCTAACTTACATTAAAATAATGTGCAATGGCGACGGATTTGTGAATACGAAATTACCTAAAGTTCAAACTTCTCAATAGGATTCGATTGATTCAGAACTTTACTGAATAAGAAAATTGTAAAAATGTGCGATATGCAAAATGTAAAGTGAATTCTCAAACTACAGACAACAAAACACATTTTGCAATAAAATAATAAAGTAATATGGGTAATTTCACATGACCGGAGAGGAATCAGGCACAGGTACCAACGGCTTTACGTGCTTTCAGCGGCATAGGGGTGAAACACCGCTAAGTTTTTGACTCCTAGTTGTTACTGAGAATTCCTTGACAGAAAAATGAAAACTGATTGTGACAAGACTTTCGCCTTCATGATCAACAATCTTGCTTACATACAACCACTAGAGTAACAAGGCAGTTTGTAATAAGATGGCATAATATGTTTTACCATTGGTCGTTTCAGCGGACATCGACGGTGGCGAGGAGGCGGGCGCGTACTTCGTGGCGCCCACGCGCGGACCTTCCGCTGCCTTGGCGCGTCTGCGTACTGCCCACGACCACGTGGCTGTTGGACTCTTCGAGCTCGCCATGAGGTACAAACCACCGAATAATACAGAAGAAAACCATTTTTATTCAATATGGATTATAAGAATGCTTGTTGAAAGTCATTTAAGCTTTACCACTGGTTCGAAAAAAAACTTCCAGCCTTAAGACCGATTTACATTTCGACAAGTACAGTAGCGGCTTAACCTGCGAACCTGGCGAGTTAAGTAGAAAATCTCGTTTGAACGGCAATAAGCGAGTTAAGTAGTAATTTACCAATTTAGTTGAACGGGATAGCCGGCCGGGCGTTGCGCGTCTTCCGCAAATAAACTCGCCGCTTGTGTGAACGAGCGAGTTTAGTTCGGTGCATAAGTTGACAGGACGCAACGTTTGCGCGTCAAAACGTATAATTCTACTTTTATAATTTAACTCGCCACAAAATTTGTACGGTACTGTTTATTGAATATTTTACGTTTTATATTGAGTTTTAATTATTAAATTGACGAAAAATATCACGTATAAATTCGTACAGGAGTATTTAGAACACGAATGTTTGTATAATAGTAGAAATTCAAATTATAAAATTAAAGCTGCTCGAGATGCTGCACTCATGAAAATTGTTAAAAACTTTAACAACAACAAATTTTATTTCTCTGACTATATCATTTAACCCCTCAGTCCCCTTAAAATTCCGATGCAATTGCATGCGCCCGGCAAATCCCGAGCGGTCGCATGCGACCGCACCCACCCGCAGCACTTAAAACCATTAAAACTTATATTTGGAGACTAATTTTCTATGAAGAAGTTTGGCATTATAAAATCTATAGAAAATTCTTTATATAATAGTCAGGTTTTACTTCATTAAAAAAAAAACTATTGTATTTTGATAACAAAAACAAAACATACCAAGCGAATATCGGCAGCGTGAAAATCACAATTATTTTAATATATATTACTCGAAATTATTTACGTAAAATATTCACACAAAAACTTTCATTACAATTTTATAATAAAACACTATACTAAAATACTAATAAAGCACTACAAAAATCCAAAAATCAACACAATAACATTCATGCGAAAATACGGCGTACGAAATGAACGTAGATTATAAATAAATATCCATAGCATAACAATTTTGTAGATGGATTAGAGGATAGAAAATTTCATATTGATTCTATAATGCCAAACTTCTTCATAGAAAAGTAGTCTCTAAATATAAGTTTTATTGGTTTAAAGTGCTGTGGTTGTGCGCGGTCGAATTCAACTGCTTGGATTTTGACGGAATAGCGCCGCGGTCGAATTTGACCGCTTAGGGCTTGAAGGGTTAATTCTTGACGTAGTCCTAGAACCATCTTAAACGAAAACAAGAAGAATTCTATAGTCTTGAAACATCATACTCCAACAAACTCTATGAACTTATGTCCTTAACTAAACTCGCCACGAAGACATTGTTCGAACGCTACTGCCCACTTAACCATTTACTGTCAACTGCCCTGTAACTAAACTCGCTACTGTACTTGTCGAAGTATAAATCAGTCTTAAGACATGCTCGCTGTCTGCGATCGTTAAAACGCTAATATACAACTATAATAATTATTTTTTTATATTATAAGGCTGACAAACGAGCACACAGTCTACCTGATGGTAAGTGTATGCTGTGGCCCATACCCATCTATATCTGTCCTCAATTAACAATCAAAATGCAGATGCGTGGTCATGCCTGAAGAATAAGATGGAATGTCTCGTTTCCAGTAAGAAAGGTCTCAAGTTCTCTACACTCGTTACCATACGAAACACAGCGCTGTCAAGCTGCTATTTTACGCTAGTATTCTGTGAGAGCACTGTCCTCCGGTCATGTAGATTGTAGACCAATTCGTGCTTCAACTATAATATAGATTCGGCATGGTTCTACCACAATAATGAGGAAAATAAAATGAAAATCACGTGATAGTCACTTGAATATGCCTTCCTATTTATTATTTATTGCATTCCTTAATAGACAAGACAAGGGGTGGATTTAATATCTTGAGGCATTCTCTGCCAGTCAACCCATGTAGTGGAGATAATTTGACGTAGGTGTGGCAATACAGAATAAAAACAAAACGAAAAAAGATAATTAACTACGTTATAAAATGTATGTCATTTTACTAAAAATAAATAAACTGTTAGAATTATCTCTTATTTAATTCATATTATATACAAATATGTACATATATATATATATATATATATATATATATATATACATATATATATATATATATATATATATATATATATATATATATATATATAAAAGTGTCCATTCAAAAAGACAAAATTCTATATTCGGATGAAACAACGTGCAAGAAAGATGGGTATTTAAATCTTCACAACCTACATAGTTGGAGTAATGACAATCCACACTTGAGGAGACAAGACAAATCCCAATATCAATTCAAGGTTAACCTATGGACCGGCATATTAAATGGAAAAGTAATTGGGCCCTTTGAGTTACAAGGAAATTTAGATGGCAATAGATGACTTGCAAGAATTGTTAAACAACGTGCCCTTAAGTGATCTTCAAAACATGTGGTTCCAAAATGATGGTTGCCCAGCACATTGTGCCCGTCCTGTGCGAGAATATTTAAATCAAGAGTATCCAGGGCGTTGGATCGGGCGACTTGGTCCTATCTTATGGCCACCCCGTTCACCCGATTTGAACCCCCTGGACGTCTTCTATTTGGGGTTGTCTTAAAAACAGAGTCTACTCAAAACCCATTGCGACATTGGACGAGCTTCGTCGAAATATCACTCAGGCTGTTGATTACATTAATAGCAGAAAATATGCAAGACAAATAAAACGATCATTTTTAAGGCGATGTCGTGCATGTATTAATGCTGGTGACAAACAGTTCGAACATTTGCTATAATGTTAATAACTTAATAAATTACACGTGAAACAGTTTGTACCATTTGTTTTGAAATATTAAACATTTTTCAAGAACTAATACTTTTATTACACCCGACCGTCATTTGGCCCCTGTTAAGAAATAATAGACCCATATTTTTTATAACTTGTTTTCCTAGAGTATTATACCATTTTGGATTTTAGTTGCGTCAATTTTTAAAAAAACTTGCCATACTAGTGTTCATACTTTTTTTTACACCACGATAAGTTAAATTTGGTTAAAAGTAAAAGTCTTCAAAAAATTTAGGGAATAAAATAAGTTTCATTAATTTTCGTGATAAAACAAGAGTTATTCTGGAGTTTTTAAGAATTGTGGTAGATAGCAGTACTATTCAGGTTGCCTATAAAAAAAAGAAAAAAAAATATTAAAAAAATTGTGGTCATGGTAGTAAAAAATATCATAAACAGTCTCAATTTCTGAATAATTTAATTTTTTTTATATATAACTTAAAATATAATCGGGATATATTTTTTTTTTTTTTTTTTCCCCGATTAGTCCGGGGCAGGTCTATCCTCCGGTGTTGGCTTATCGTTGAATTTTGGGACACGTTGTATAGACATACCAATGTACATAATAATAATATATAAAGAGATAAATATCATAAAAACTTTGTACGTGTTGGTACAATAGAATTTTAATAATGTTATATTTTTAGATTAATAAGATCGGATAATAAATAAAAAAGAAATGAATAAAAATAAAAATAAATAAAACTCACTTCCAAAAAGTACCATTTTGGCGCTCTAACATTTTCTCCTTTCTAGTGATGATATATAAATAGTTCATATAAATAACTATGTATATATACGTCTGTTATCAATATGAATGGCATGGGATGATCCATGTAAGAAGCGTGTCTTTAATAGATGATTACGCACAAACTTTTTAAAAGCAAACTTATTGGGAGATTTTCTGATGTCTCCAAACGTTACGGAAAGTCTCCGGAGGCCTCGTAACGTTTTAATGGAACCCCCTGTTCCGCTAGATGCCGACGAGCCAAATGTCGCTGGCCAGTCACACACGAACACTACACACACACCTGGTGCAACAAACACGGTTAGTACATCGGATGGGACCCTCTACACCGCGTACACACCGTTCCTCAGAACATCGGACGATACGAGTTAGCCCGCCACCCCCTGCTCAAACGCCCGTTACATAACTCACTTACGTGCACTTTCAACTGAAGTACCTGAACATCGTTACGCAAGTAACGGTGTAGAATAATTTAAACTTACCCCTTTTATTTTAAATTTCTGGCCTTTCAGGCCGCGTGTCCAGAGACCGATGAAGTTGTAAAAGCTAAAAGGCTAACAGCACAAACATCACAGAAACTAGACCAGACTTTTCTGATGTCAACGGGCAAGGCGCGTAGCCTAACTGTAAAGGAGCTACCGTAGATCTCGGTGTAGTGAACAGGAATACATATTTATTGTTACAAGAAATATATAAAACCCGATTGTGAAATGAGGAAAGATAGTGAAATTTACTCTTAGATAAGAAGGCGAAAATGGATCATTTAATATGGAAAAAAGAACGACTGTTTTGAAATTGCGCCCCTGCCAAATTGTAAGCCAATTAAGCTTAGATCTTATATTACGAAATATGGTCATACTTACGAAGCCCAAATATACATCTTACACAGTCATTGTGATGGCGATCCAGCTTGTTCAGAAGTTCTTGAGATAGATCCGAATAACACACATCTGCATAGTCAATTATAGATAATATGAGTAATTGGACATGTATAATTTTAAACTTTATGGGAGGAAAATATTTTCAACGATACAAAGAATGTAACATGGCAATGACTTAATGACTCACTTCTGAAACCTGAGTTCTCCAATTCAGCATACTGTCAATGTGCAGGTCGTGCTTTTTTACAGACTTACTTTATTACTTAAAAACTTGTAATAAATAGGAGGTAAGTCTGCAAGATTAATCTTGGCTATCATCATTGAGCTACCCACCAGTATATCTTGGCATTTCAAAAGATTGACCAACAATATAACGAGTAAACCAATCATTTTTAGCTTTTTAAGTTGTCCTTTATTTTTTTAATCCCATTGTGGATACCCCCATTTCAGCTTGCATGTATAGCTGAAGGTCATTGGCGTACAAATGGTACGCGATCAATTGAAGATGGAGGTGATAAAGTTTATGAAAAAATTATAGGAGAAAATATACCGCCATGCGGCACAACAGCTTCCACATCAGCCCAAGATGAGGTCATTTGCCCCACACGGGCTGACTGCTGTCGATCGCGAAGATAAGATGCAAACCATTCTAATGCAGTAGTGGGGTCAAAATTTAGATGAGACAGTACGCAAAGGAGGATTTCATGATAAACTCTGCTACATTTGAGAAATCAATTAGTACCAGTACTGTTGCTTTTTTTCTTCCATACCTTGTCTTATATCATCTGTGACGTTAATTAAATCAGTAGTGGTACTATGACCAAGGCGAAACCTGGACTAATATTATTCGCAGTAGGTTATATTTTGATATAAAAGTAGAAATTTCCTTGTAAACACAGGATTCTAAAATTTTGGAGTTTAAGAATTCCAAAATTTTAGAATCCCAATAAACATTGATAATAATGAATGAAATCGATGTTAAAGCTACCTTAAAGTTACCGTCGTTAAATTTAATTCTACTAATTTATTGGGCGATTTTTGAACTATCAAAACTCCTGTGTAGAACGTAGGCTAAAAAATATCTTCTATAGCAAAAATAAAGTAAAAATTACAGCCTATATACGTCCCACTGCTGGGCACAGGCCCCCCCTCATTTCTGAGAGGGTTTTTAGGGCAAGGAAGTGTCCGCCACGCTGCCCCAATGCGTGTTGGCGAACTTCACATGTCTTCGAAATATTTTTTTCTTATTCCTCAGACATGCAGGTTTCCTCACAATGTTTTCCTTCACCGCCGAGCACGTGGTAAATCAGCACTTAAAATTGCAACTAACAATGTGCCGGCGGGGATCGAACCCGGGTTGCTCGCGTTCTGTTATAGCAAATATATCTGGTAGCAAATATTTGCTTTATTTATCGCCCGTAGCAGCCGGGTTGACAATTACAGTTTTTTTAATTATTTTAATATGTTATCTGGTATAATATGCCACTGCCCAACTTTTGTTTATTTCGCTCTGTCGTTTCTTACGATCCGTACATGCTGAAGGGATTTCTTTTTTCTTTTTTTTTTAAAATCCGCTATATATTTTTACATATTTATGTCTAACTTTTCACGTTGTTGTGGGTTGTAGCACGAATGGGTTGGCTCGACCGGGGTGGGACCATGCTCTCACAGAATACCAGTGTAAAATAGTAGCTTAATGTATACGTATGGTGCGTGTAGAGAACCGGAGACCATTTTTAATGGAAATAAGTTGCTCCATCTTAGTCCTCAGGGGTGACAACGCATTTGCATTTGGATTCTCAAATGAGGATAGATGTACATAGATGTCTATGGGCCACAGCATCCGCTCACTATCCGGTGAACTGTGTGCTCGTTTGTCCTAGGTCATATACGCTACTCAATTTTAAGACGTCTGTAAATAATGATTTCTTATATTTACGCGAACACTACACATTGATTAAAACTACTTTTACTGACTGAGATGACTGACGCCCTGATGTCATTGTTAAACCCGAAGTACCTTCAGGTTTTTTAATTATTGTTTATGGTCTGATCTATGCAAAATGAACTGACTGTGTCTTGAAGTCTTGCAGTCGTGAGCTTGAGTTTAGTTTTAATTTTATTGATTATAGGGTCCCAAGCAGGTGGCAGTACCCATCCTCCTTCTCTATTGAAATTAGGATGTTTTTTAACTTCAATAGCCTCACGAATCATCCTTGTTAGGAATCGATGTTCTTTCGCGAGGATTTGTGGTTTATCAAATCTGATGTAATGGTTGGAGCCGTCTAGGATATGATCACAAACTGCAGCAGACTTTCCACCATACACAATAATTAATTCGGGCCTTAAACAATAATTAAAAGAGCTGAAGGTACTCCAGGTTTAACAATGACATCGTGGCGTCAGTCATCTCAGTCCCCCGTGACCATGGGTCCTAGAAAGCACCCGAAACGTCGGGAATTAAAAATAATTAAAATTAAACGCGATAAAATCCGTAAAAGTAGTTTTTAATCAACGTCTGTAAATCTCGTGTCATCACAGTCACTTTGATTTAGTGATAGAGATAGCAAGAGATTTAACGGAATTTTATGGCTCGGCCACACTACGCTCCTCGCGCTACCGCGATGTTGCCCTGTCTGACTAGTCTGACAACACACTGCTCTACTCGCGCAATTAATCGCGACGCTCTGCACTAGGTCGCTAGCATCTGCAGCACAATGAATGTTGAGACTGTTGCAGCGTGCGAGCTATGCATATTTATTCTTATTATGTCAAATGAATTGTATCAAATTCTTATTATGAAAAAAGCTTATTATATCAATCTCATATAAAATAAATATAGGTCGTCGTCCGCGCCAATGGAGGTGGTGGATGACATCTAATCATCGCAAAAGAACGACGCTTATGTAACGAGCATACAGCGTGCACGGAACTGTGTTCGCGCGATTATGTACCCGGCCACTTGCGCTCATATTACCAGTCCTTTGACTCGCGCCCAAAAAAGCGACAAAACTGGGAGCGATGGGCATGATGAGGAGCATGACGTGTGGCATGACGAGTATTATGGCTACACTACTTTCGCTACTTACGCCAAACGCGGGAAGGGAGGTGGTGAATGCTCAAAGCATACCACGTAGCCAGCTGCGTGGTTATGTGGGACTTCTACCCACTAAACACCACCTTTGAAACTAGCTTTAACCTGGTAGGACCTTTTAGCCGTATCGGAAGCGACTCCCCTTGGGGAATAGGGGACGCAGGCCTTCGCGTCTTATATACCCATCGACTCAAGGAACGTGCTGCACAGTGATTGGTCAATCCGGTACAAAGATTAAAAACTGTCGTACACATACTGGCTGTTGTCGTGGATAGCGGTTGTCATAGACAAACCCTTTCACTGTTAAATACTTTATGAAAGCCGAAATTTATATATACTCGTCGTTTCGACAGATAGTTAGCTTTAAAGGGGCATTTAGGAAGGTTAGTTTCCTAGGGTTACTCGTACTCGTGGCAAGTTAAAATAGAGTAGCGTTTGAGTATTTAAGGCATTATTCTATAAAAAAAATTCTTATGTTCTAACAGGCTGCTGAACGAGCAAGTGGGCATAGTGAACTTCGAGCCGTATCAGGATACGTTCGTGCGTATGTTCGCGAGCGCGCGCATGATGTTCGGCGCGCTGCCGAGTCTGCCGCCACTTTGCGCCGCGCTACATCGCAACTGGAAAGAGGCCAGCGGGCCCGACCTGCTGCCTGTACTTAGTGAGTGCAATACAATGTCCTTGTCGTTTCATTTACTAATTATTGTCACTAGTGCTCGAAATTCGATCGCAATTCATAAAATTTTTAAGTTTGTTTATTAAGGCAGCTGTATTTTCAACTACACATCGCTAAATAGTATAAAATAAAGTCGCTTCCCACCGTCTACGCTTAGATCTTTTAAATTACGCAAAGGATATTGATGCAGTTTTCATCAATAAGTAGAATTATTTAATACCCCATTTGCACTCAGCCACTGCTACTGCTCCTGTCGCTGCCGGAAATATTTCCCTAAATACTTATGCGGCAATAACGACGCGAGTGAATGTTTACACTCATTACTTCTTAATTGATCAACTCGCAACAATGACTGACGTCGAGTTTGTTAGTGCGACAGCATTATGTCTGCTCATTATAAGTGACATCGACATCTTTAGCGACCCCGAAAGTGTATTTAAAAGAAAATGTAAAGAGTCACTGTTACCTGCCTTGCCAGATTAATGATTCAAAATTATTATTTATGTAATTATTACTGGATTCGGTGCTTTTACTTTGATTGTTTAGTTTAATTTCTTTTTGTTTTAGAGTTTATATGTTGGTTAGTTTTTTTTTTCTCTTATAATGATGTATATGTAAAGACATATCCTTTATCTAAAAATGAAGTATTTTGATTGTAATAATGTTTACTGATATTGTCGATGGTGTATCTATTTAAATAAATAAATTATAAGTAGCTACTACGTGCAATTTATGGTTTATATCGTGACGATCCCATATTACCTGCTCAATTTCATAAAGTTCTAAAAATTTAATTCATATGTCGTTACTAAATATCATTAAAACACAGGACAGATTAATAAACGAATTGTCGTTTTTAAACGTAGCACGTTCTTTCTCGGTCGAATTTTAGCGGCAAGAGAGCGAGAATGTAAACACTCGCTCTCGCTCGCGCTACCCGTCCTTTGACTCCCGAGCGAAAAACCGACAAGCGATTGAGCGCCGGGCACTGACAGCGGCATTGCCAGTGACCACGCGAGTAGCCTATTTACATACACGCGCTGCCTACTTCCCTGCTCACTTCCCTGCCCAACGAGCCGAAGTGTAAATGAGGCAGAAGAGGAAAACGTACCTGTACCTACTTACTATTCGAAGAACAATTGACAGCTAATGAAACTGTTGAAGAGCAGCAAGCTATAATTTAAGTAGTGAATACAGACACAGTGCACAGAGGCCCTATATTATGGTTCGTAAACTCGCCGAAACTTTCACCGCTAGATTTTTATCAGTGAGATAAAATAAAGAAATGTGGAGTGAAAAGTGAAATAAAGAGAATGAAAGGGATCAACAAAGAAAGAAGAACTCGTGTGTGTCACTAAACTCTTAGACTGCTGGATCGATTTCGATGAAATTTTGTGTGTGTGATTAAGTTGATTCGAGAATGGTTTAGATTTGCAATTGGGCCCCGTTAATGGCGCCGTTGTTGAGATTCAGAAATCACCTGTGCGAAGCCGGAGCGAATCGCTAGTTAATATATAAAAAACATATCTAAACAGTTCATTCATTCAATGTGTCAGTAATTATTTTTAACTGCCAACACAAACAAAGGGGTGTTATATGTTTAACGTATTGTTACGAGCTTGAGGTTCGTGACAATAAAAATTGCCGATAAAATTACCTAAATTAACACTTTAATTTTCTTTACACAAATTTAAACTTAAAACACTAATAATTAATCACACTGATTCACTTTATTCCGCTCCGAAGCTTCGCTTGTTCGCCAAATTCAATACTTCCCCGATCGCGCCTTGCAGTGCCTATAAATACACATTAGTACCGAATCATCCAGAACATTCAAGTAAATTCGCGCACCAATCGACAAAGCGCCGAAAGTTCGAGAGTCAGCTTCCAGAAGCTTAGTTTTTCCTTTCGACAACAGATGGCGCTGTCGGTTGAAAGATGATGTCATTTTCTGAAAAGCTCTCCCCCTCGCTCCGTTACACGACACTAGATGGCGCTAGTGCCGTCGACTTAGGCGCGTAACACTGCCCCTCCTAAGACATGCTCGTCCCGAGCATTATCGGCCCCATAATAACGCGCCAGGCGATCCACATGGACGATCTTAGGAGTCCCTCTTGCGCCTTTCTGTAACGGCTCCGCAATGTTAAGGGCCGTCCTATCCCATGGTGCACCAACATTGTACAATTTCGGTGCTCCTCTGCTACGTGTCTGAGGTCCCCTCACGGCCGCACAACTTGCACATGTACGACACCAAGCCTCGACATCGTCACGATAATGGACGGCCACTGTGGGTGGGTGGGTAAAACTGTTCTTGGACCTTCAGCAGAGTTCGTTTAACTCCCAGATGGACTCTTGAACGACCATTATGGCACAGCTGTAGAACATTCGGCACTTTAGCTTTAGGGACAACCATTTGCAAACGACAGCTGTCTCCTCGACAATTGTCCATTTACGGCACAGGACTCCATTCTGAATCAGCAAGCTATCCCATTGGGCCCAATAGCTTTTCGAGGTTGTACTTATCGCTGAGACGTCGCTCCACTTAGGCTTGGTAGCACGGGCCTTCATCCATTCCAGAATCGGCTTGATGTCCGAATCTTCCAGCTGTGCATGTAGTAAGGCTGTCCTTCCATTCGTTGCTGAGGTGGTCTGTCCTGAGCATTCTCACGGATACCTCTTCCTTACTCTCTTGCCTAGTACAATGTTTCCGATCTTCAGGACAAGGTCTTCTTGACAATGCATCTGCGTTGCCATGAGATTTCCCGCTGCGATGTCTGATAGTAAAGTCGTATCCCGGCTGCTGCTGGGCGGTGATGTTAGCCGCACTTCCCTTCTGAGATCGTTCACCTTCCCTTTCTAGGGTTCGCTTAGGGCAGCTGGCCCCTTTCCCCACAGCCATAGCACCTAGGGCTGTATCCTTTATTGTGGTCGCGAACCGTAACTGCTGCAACCTCCCTAGCGCGAGGGGAACGACGATCCTGCCACCACCAGGCGGTGCCGTTAGCTGCACTACCCTCTCGAGATCGATCAACTCCCCTTTCTACAGTTCAGCTAGGGCAGCTGGAGCGAAGATGGCCCCTTTCCCCACAGCCATAGCACCTAGGGCTGTATCCTTTGTTGCGGTCTTGTACCGTAGCTGCTGCAACCTCCCTGATGCGATGGGAACGATTATCCTGCCGCACGGCTTCCACATTCAGTGCATGGGCCAAGGCGTCCTTAAGCGTCGCGTGGTGCCCGAGCCTCACAGCAGCTCTGACTTCCAGGTCACGGATGCAGTTGATGAATGTCTGCACCAGGTTCCCTTCAATGAGCGCGGGTACAGACCGGTATGCTTTCCGCACCCTCTTCTCCACCTCAAGGGCCCACTGCTGCAGGTTTTCGTTGCTGCGTTGCACGCGATCTTTAAGGCGCGCGAAAGACATGTTCCAGGTGAGAGTCACCATATCTCGCCTCCAATGCCTCAAGGAGCTGCTCGTAGGTCACTTTCTTACCGAGAGCTTCCAACACAGTTAAGGCTTGGTCGCGCAGGCCTAAGGTGAGTGCAGTCATGGCCTGGCTTTTATTCCAGCCGTTTGCCTCCATGACGGCCTCGAACTGGATTTTGTAGGCCGACCAGGAAGAAGTCCCGTCGAACGGCGGCACTTTGAATCAACGTAGCGAAGGTGCTGTAGCTACTACGGGAGCTGTATTTCCATCCGCAAGTTTGAGGTCGTTCAGCGTTTTCTTCACGTCAGCCATCACGTTGTCAACCCGAGTCGTTCACATGGTTGATTCGGGTTTCATGTTCTTCGATTCGGGTTTCAGCTTCCGACAGGCGGTTGTCATGTTGAGCAACCCTATCCTTCACCTCCCTTATCTCTTTCGCAAAGGTGGCGTGAAGGTCCTTCATGAGCAGCATCTGTTCCTCCTGTCGGCGGGCCTGTTCCTCTTGTCCGCTCTGCAGCTGCTCTTTCAACTGACGGATCTGTTCCTCCTGTCGGCGAGCCTGTTCCTCCTGTCGGCGAGCCTGTTCCTCCTGCTGCTCTTTCAACAGACGAGCCTGATCCTCTCGTCCGCGCTGCAGCTGCTACTGACGGGCCCGCAGCCTCCGTGGCTGGCAGTTGGCCCTCCGACGTCTGCGGCGTTGCACCACCAAACCTCCTCTGGTCCGTCTCCTGCTGGCGTTGACTTCGGGTACGGACACCCTCCGTTTCCTCCTTAGGTAAAATCGGCATGATTTTATCCCACTTCTGACACCAATTGTTACGAGCTTGAGGTTCGTGACAATAAAAATTGCCGATAAAATTACCTAAATTAACACTTTAATTTTCTTTACATAAATTTAAACTTAATACTTCCCCGATCGCACCTTGCAGCGCCTATAAATACACATTAGTACCGAATCATCCAGAACATCTCAAGTAAATACGCGCACCAATCGACAAAGCGCCGAAAGTTCGAGAGTCAGCTTCCAGAAGCTTAGTTTTTCCTTTCGACAACAGATGGCGCTGTCGGTTGAAAGATTAGTGATGTCATTTTCTGAAAATCTCTCCCCTCGCTCCGTTACAAGACACTAGATGGCGCTAATGCCATCGACTTAAGCGCGTAACAGTATATATATCTATGTGTCTGTCTGTGGTATTGTAGAGCCCAAACAGATGAATCGACTTTGATTTAGATTTCTTTGGTTTCTTTGAGAGGTGACTTGATCGAGAGTATTCATAGATATGATTCAACAAAATCTGTTCAGCCGTTTAAACATCAGCAGTTCTTTTTGTTTCAGGGGTTTCCATAAAGTTTTATTTAAGATATGTTGGCAACATTTTAAATACCACACCACAGAGTAGTTTAGAGTTTTACCATAGAGTATTATGTGTTTGACAATGAATGTTTTTATTATATATAAAAAATAATGTTTTTTTGTTCATATTGTTATGCGCTGCCGTACCATTCTTTAGATTGTGCTGAAACTTTGTTAATTTATTGCTTGCACTTGTGCGAAAGTTATAGACATAGTACAATTAACTTAGGTGGCGCGCGTATGGTACCGACAAATTTATTTGAAATTAATATATCATCATCATTATCTAACCTAACTAAACAATTTAAACTCTTCGAAATTTAAAACGATATTTTCAAAATTATTTATTCTGCAGCAGCAACGTGCTGGGTACCAGCTAGTCATTTAATAAATGTTAGCTTTCTGCACTCCTCACATTTCTCCTTGTACTTAATATGCTTAAATAGGGGTACAATTTTTTTCATAATTACTGCACTATTTCATGCATGTTAAAAAGTAATAGAGCATTTTCTGCCTATCAAACTGCTGACTCAGATTTCATTTGCGAGGAGTTATGAAAAAATGTGTCCCCGAAATAATTTATTCCACAGACAAGCAGGCTTTCTCACCGCAGAGTACGTAGTAAATCAGAAAATTGCAATTAACAATTATTTTATTTCCGGTGCGTATCCCCTATATGTACTCTGGTCGCTTGTAAAATAACCGGCCAAGTGTGAGTCGAACTCGCACATGAAGGGTTAGAAGAGTATAGTAATGTTCGTCGGCCGTCATTATCGAGCTGGTCTTGCAGAACACAGAGTACTGAAGCTCAAAATGATCCATTTGAATGATCGGCCCGAATGACTCGGTTCATAAGAGGAATCGATACTTGAATGATTGGGTCACTAGAAATGAACGAATGACACAATGATAACAATGCTTAGTAGTTATTTATGTCTACTGTTGTTGTGACGTCACAAGCCGTTGTTGTCACTATGAATTTTAGCCTATGAATTTTCTAAATATTTAATATCGCTTTTTCTTACAGCTACGAAGTTAAACGACTTGGTGACACAGTTGCAACAATGCTACCAGTTAACAACTGCTGGGAAGTTCACCGAGGCCATAGAGAAGCTGCAGCATGTAGCTCAAAGCGTTCCATTGCTGCAAGTTGAAGGGAAACAGGAGTTGGCGGAGGCTCAACAGCTGCTCGCTATCTGCAGGGAATACTTACTCGGATTGCAGATGGAAACTGCTAGGAAAGGTTAGTATAATGTATACAATATATAAGATTTCTAGTTTGTGATATTTATCGTGAGGGAATCTTCTAGGTCCGATCTTCATAATGCCGTTCACAGTTCTTTCTCGGTCCGATCTCGGTACGATAAAATATTATCAAGTAAAAAATATGAGTGTATGTGTGTGTGTATGTGCATTCATACTATCCGTAACAGTCAAGTTTCGCTCGAATCCCATTCCAATAATATAATAAATTAGACCGAGATTGGACCGAGAACGAACTGTGAATGGCAAATGAGGATCGGCCTTAATTAGTTACATTTCTCCATGACACTACAATATTTTTACAAATAAGTTAATGGAATTATTTTTAAGGCATAGTAAATAATCATATCTAAGTTCTCATAAACCATTTCTTTAATCCATGAGGTAGTTTTCTTTAAAAAAAAGTTGTTTGGCGCTTACTTAGTTTTTTCCGAGCTTTCGTTGTATTATTTGCGTACTATGAAGTGCATCACTTCATGTTTACGATTTTTCTTTTTTGTATTTACATTGCTGTCGTAAACATTTTTTACTTTTTAATGTGTGTCTTTTTAAAATGCCTTCACATCCCGCATGGCAGGGCAAGATCACGCTCTCACAGTGTAACTTAATGCTGCTGTGTTTCATATGCTGACTATTCACTGGAAACGAGGCAATGTTAGTCCTCAGGGGTGACAACGATAAGAATGAATATGCAGATGGAATTTTGATTCTTAAACGTGGATAAATGTAGATGTCTATGGGCCTCAGCATCCACTTACCATCTGGTGGACTGTGTGCTCGTTTGTCATCCTTATATTAAAAAGCATTATATAATATAATAGTTTATAAATGATGGACCCAAGTATTAAAAAAAATATGATTTCTATAAAGGGCAATATTGAAAACACATGTAAGATGATATTTGCTAAATATTTATGGTCTTTCCCTGTTTACAGCCATGCCGAAGAACACACTAGAGGAACAGAAACGTACATGCGAAATGGCAGCCTATTTCACGCACTGCAAACTACAGCCTGTTCATCAGATCCTGACCCTGAGGACGGCCTTGAATATGTTCTACAAGCTCAAAAACTTCAGAACCGCCGCGTCCTTTGCTAGAAGACTTCTTGAGTTAGGTCCCAGACCAGAAGTGGCACAGCAAGCCAGGAAGATCCTGCAGGCCTGCGAGAAAACGCCCACGGACGAGCATCAGCTCCTATACGACGAACACAACCCCTTCAATATATGCGGTATTAGCTACAAGCCTATATACAGGGGGAAACCGGAAGAGAAGTGTGCCTTGTGCGGAGCCAGCTTTATGCCAGAGCACAAAGGAAAGCTCTGCCCTGTCTGCGGCGTCGCAGAAATCGGGAAAGACGTTATAGGATTGAGAATTTGTCCCTTACAATTCCAGAGATAATTTTATATACACGTAATATAATATATATTTTATTGGTAATATAACTATTGTGTAAGGAATATAGAATAAATGATAATGTATGGTATTTTGTGTAATAATTCATCAGCAATCTTATTGCTATTATATGCTTATTTATTTAAAAAAATGTTTTGTTTAAAATAACGAATCGTTTTACGTACGTAGTGCACAGAAAATTATAACCAAACCATAGTACTAGTTCTATAAGATCTTATGTCTGGATACGACTGTGTAGGAGCGGTAAAAGAATAAGTATTTAATACTCCATATCGTCTCCTCTTGGTTTTGTATACTTTTTTGTTTTGGCGACAGAGGGAACAAACCAAAAGATCTTCTCTCTCTAATAACAACTGGAAAATAAAAAAAACTGCGTTTGCCGACCCGCCTATCAAACTTACGCCTACTAAATGGCCAAAATAAAGTCTGGTCTTTGGACTATCATATCTTGTCTTTAATCTTCTTGGTGAAAAAGGAGTTGTGGTTTTTAGGTAAAAATGTAACTGAAAACTAAATGCAGAGTCACGGACAATACAATTGATAACTTCACAAACTAATAATTTCTTATTACTAGTGTAGTAAGCCAGTTAGTTACAGCATGGTTTTTAATTAAACGAAACAGAAAGGGTTTTTTAAACGTTTAATTATAGTTCATTATAACAACTAAATTACATAACTAATTAAAAACATACGCGTAACATATATTTATATCGGCAATCGATATTTTGTTTGCTTCGTGATGATGTAGATCTTCAATACAAGATAATTAACACGCTCCATTTCAATATTAAACGGCAACTGGCTCAACTTCCTTGTTCCTATAATAAAACAGAAAATATAATATACGCATACAAAAATGTTTTTAATATGTGTATACATTCCTGTTTATGACCTGAAAATGTTATAATTTATAACAAAAAATGTAGCGCGTTCTATACTCCCCTTCACCTTTACTAGGATTCAACTAATAGCCTTTAAATTTATTTAGAAATTTTATAAATCATGTTCACGTTAAGTACAAGAGTTTTATATCTTTAATGCTTAATATTGTGTCTATGACGTAGCTGCCGCCCGGATATCCTACCGGACTATCAAAAAATGTACCTCAAACCTTCTCAAAAGCCCCATATTCAAAGTATTTTAAGTCTTCTTGTTTTATAAATAATATATTAATGTATTTTTATCCTTATCCTTTATGGCTTTTCTTTTATTATATTATCTTCTACGGCAAGTGTGTGTGCGCAGATTGTCTATTTTTAGAATTTGTAATGCTACAATCTTTATAATATTTTAACCAATAATATTCAGTATCAGCTAATTTTATATTTTTTTAAGATTTTCACTCTTAAAAAGATAAGTGAAGCTAACTTTTATTCCTAAAATGACGTAAAATCCACAGCCCCCCTTGCTACGCCTCTGGTTTAATATAAACTCATATGTTACTTTAAAAATAATAAATAATAATAAATAAGTGTTTGATAGGATGATTCTTATAATTTTAGTTTCTTATTCACTTCATCACCCTACAATTAGTCCTATACAAAGTATATGCCGTAATCGCCTATGTTGTAACATAAACACAGCTCTCGGTAAAATTTACTGTAGTAATTGACACTGAGTGTCTCAAATATTCGTATACGAGAAGCTTAGCCGTCATGCAAGAACAGAGGATAGGATAGTACCATCTTACGACACTTACAGGATAAAAAGAGGTGATGGATAATTTTATAAAATTAAAAAATGAATTGTAGAAATATAAAAAGGTAATTACCTGTTATTCAGCACATCCTGAATCTCATCAAAAGTTTTTCCCTTAGTCTCTGGTAGTAGGGGACTGACAGAGAATATGAAACCGAATCCGCAGCAAATTGCTAGTATCCAGAACGCAGTATAGATGCCGTACGACGCTGCAACATCTCGGAAAAATCTAAAAGTAATATTAAAAAGAAAATAATAAAAGTTCGCCTGACACCCACTAGGAAAGGTTTATCAGTATGCTCCCAAGTATGTGGACAACAGATATAGTTTGACAAAGTGACGGCTCCGTGGCGCACTGGCTTGGCAATTAGTGGCTGCGCTGGGGGCCGCGGGTTCGAATCCCGCACGGAACAAGTATTTGTATGGCCTACAAATTAATTGTTCCGGGTCTGGATGTTTGTCCTTGTGAAATTTATGTATGTAAACTGCTTCCACGATACAGAAGAAAATCTAGTGTGTGTGTGTGGGGGGGGGGGGGGGGTAACGTTATAAAAAATACTGGTAAAAAAAGTGTGCTTGGGCTGCCAGGGTCGTGTAATGTTTATCGTTTATAAGAGTTTTTATTCAAAGTTATTTTAGATTTGCATGAAATCATAAAATTAGTCATTAGATGTTCTAAGACTACTTGTAACACTTTATTTATGTCGCAAGTACTTTCAAACACAACACTTTGTATTTTTTTCTTCTTCTTTATCATTTATTATATATATATATTAGACATGCAAGGAATATTCGGCTATTATTCGGTATTCGGCCATTTCGGATACTTTTTTCCTACTCGGCCGAATACCGAATACTTGAGTAAGATATTTTGTTGTAGTCGGATAGTTGGTAAAGCAAAAATATTTATTTATTTTATAATGATGTATTTTTGTTATAATCATTAAAGTAGTCACAGGACATAATCAACTTCCAAGGAAGATTATGGTGCGAAAGATTAATTTTTCTGCATTTTCAGGCAGTAGTTTACTAATTTTCTTCTAGTAGGCAATCGCAGCTTCCTAGAATAGACGCCCTGAATAAAATACAGTACTTCTTTCCGGGCCATATACTTTTGCCGAATATTCGGTATTCAGCGTGTGGCCGAATATACTATTCGTTGCAAATTTAATATTTAGAAAGGCGGCAGGCAACAATAATGTTGTTAAATGCCACCTTTACGTGTCGCAGGTGACATGATATAATATTTTTATAGGATAGGGTAACAAACTAGTCACACACAGTCCACCTCATGGTAAGTGGTTGTTGCGGCCCATAGACATTTACATCTATCCTCGATTACGAATCAAAATGCAGATGCGTTGTCACCCGTGAGGACTAAGATGGAATGCCTCGTTTCCAGTAAAAAGGGTCTCCGGTTCTCTACACTCACTCTACACTCACATGCGAAATACAGAAGCATTAAGCTACTATTTTACGCTGGTATTCTGTGAGAGCGTGGTCCCGACCCATTCGTGCTACAACTATACTACTAATATAACTGTAGCATAGCTCTACCACGTATAAAATAGACTACCGATGAAAAGAATGTGAAACGAATTGTCTCTGGAGACATGTGTTGCGAGATTTTTGGCCCCTAGTAGAATATACAACTATACCAGGACGGATTAAAAACATATATAAATATGTTTTTAATCCGTCCTGGTTGATTTCCGAGTAGGGTACCACCACTGAGTTCAGAGGGCATGTTACCCTTACACACACAGTCCACCTAATAGTAAGTAAATGCTATGGCCCATATACCCCTGAGAACTAATATGGAAAAATCTTAAATAACATTTAAAAAAAAACTTCGGTTCCCTACCCTATTACTGCGTAGAAAATACGGTGATATTACATTTATATTTAATGCTGGTATTCCGCGTGAATATGGTGGTGTGGGCGACCCATTCACTGTACGCTACACCGGATGTTTTATGCGTGATAGAGCCACTCTATTATGGTTGTAGCACGAATGGGTCCGCTCGACCGGGGGAAGTAGCTTAGTACTGCTGTGTTTCGGATGGTGAGTGTAGAGATTCGGAGACCCTTTTTTACTGGAAACGAGGCATTTCATCTTAGTCATCAGGGTAGACAACAAAGTATCTGCGTTTTGATTCTTAATCGAGGATAAATGTAGATGTCTATGGGCCACAGCATCCACTTACTATCAGGTGAACTGTGTAATCCTTTGTCACGATTATTTTATAAAAAAAAGATACAACAAGTATAATAAAATAATACAAACCTAGTCCAAATAAATCCAGCTAACCAACACATGAAAGAGGCTATACCACTGGCGAGACATTTCGTTTTCACAGGAAACATTTCCGCCACTAATATCCAAGGTACTGGACCCACACCTGTTTTGCAATCATTTCGTCAGTATTCAAGAATTAAGAATAAGTGTAAGGCCTCAAAAGTAAGTAAAAGTGTTAAGCGTGTATGAAAAACACATCTCTTGTGTTACTGGAACGCGGTATTTTTTCCATAGATCTCAATCGGCCACTACTCAGGTCTTTGCAGTTCAACAGCCTCCGTTTCTCATGATGCCAAGTTGATGCTCCGTCAAATGCTCTCTGTTGAGGGCTTGCCTAACGTTAAGGGTAAGGGGCCAAAGGTAAGGGCAAACACACGCTGTTGTTTTTTTTTTATAAAAGGGACAAAAAACTTAAATTCCACACGATGGTAAGTGGCTACAGCAGTTTGTGAACACTTGCAGCTAATTTTAAATAAAGAACGCTACAGGTGTGTCGCCAATGAAAACTAAGATGGAGTGCCTCATAGCCTGTAACTATGCTGGCTCTTTGAAGGAGTTTTGGCGGGAACTTGGCCGTAGATGGATTGTCGCTCCTGTTTTGTCGCTCGAATAATAGTTTGAAGTGGATTTTGATTCGTAAAAGTGTTGTGATATTGTGAATTAAGTGTCCGCACGTGTGAACTATTAGTGAAAACGACGAAACAAGTGCTTTGATGTCGATGTAAACCTCAAGTTTTAATTTGATCGCTTGGGCGCCTCATTAACTTGAACGTTGAACTGTCGTCAAAATCTCCCAAGGGCTTCGCAATGTAATGAATCAACATATTGTGGAGAAAAAGAATATAAAATGAAAATTCCGGAAGAAATGATAGGCTCAGAATAGGCTAGAACCCAGAGCCGTAAAGCCAGCTAATAAAAAAATGGCTCTTTGAAACTATTCAGACCTGAACACAATAGTTCATGCACTGCTGGTCGGCGGCAGACATAG